TTCAACAATCTGTGGTGTATCTATTCACTAGATGATATACTCTAAGACAAAGCAATACAAATTTATCTTTTCATTCATTAACTATGCTATAAAGCAATGATGGTGGCTTCTTGTGATCTAACACTAAACGCTCTAGCATATCATGTACCCATCTACACCTGGGCAGAGAGTGGCAAATGTGGATTAACTGTCCTTTTCCAACAGACTATATAACATCTACACCTCCTAGTACCCTACCATGTCATACTATGAAGTACACTGGGTTATATAATCCAAATCAAATAAAAAACAAAAATGCATAAAAAATAATAAAATCAAAGACACACTTTAGATAATGGAAGAGCATCAGTACTGGCCATGATAAACATTGTACATATACATGTACTAGGTCTGTACTTCAGGTTTATCAATTTGGAATGGGGTGAAATACCAAAGTAATGACCCCAAAACAAAAACATAACAAAAACAAAGCAAACAAACAATGTACCTTAAACAAATACCTGTACTGCATCATCAAAGATATTTGATATCTCTAATAATTCATAATAATCAAATAAATTTATATTTTGAGGACAATTTTACAGATGTAATCATTTTTCATATAAATGTAGCTAGCAGCAATTACTGTTAATAGTCACTTTCATTGGAAGACAAAAGAATGTTACCAAAATGTGTGTATGCTTTTTAAACCCCTCAAAAAAAGTTTGGAAAATCAAGTTTGATCAATTATATCTCCTTTGTCATGCGATAATTATCGCTCTATTTAGTATTATTAGAAAGTATGCTTGTTCCTCTTTAAAATGATACCATATTTGTTATGATTTTGCAGCTATGGAATGAGCAGTACATCAGAATAAGGGACAGGGTCAAAAGTGAAAAGTTGCAAAATGCACTGGTAAGCACTGGTATTGTTATGCAGCGCACTACACAGCATCCCTACACTCTTCAAGAAGAAATGCATAGCCGAACAAAAGCAGTGCATTTTGCAACTTCTCACTTTTGACCTTGCCCCATATTTTGATGCAATGCAATTTCCATGACTGAATGAAAAATCTTTACAAATGGGGTATCATTTAAAGAGGAATAAACACACTTTCTAATGATACTAAGTATAGTGATGATTATGCCATAACAAGGGAAATATAATCAATCAAACTGAGAGTGTCCCAACTTTTTTAAAGGGGTTTAGTTGCAAATTTGTGAGGATGACCATTTGTCTATTTTTCCTTCAAGGAATTTCTCTAGTGGTCAAGGGTCAAGTTTAATACTACTTGCCATATTAGTTGATCCCCAAAGCTAAGTATATTCACAACTATTCTGATTGGTACATGTAAATATAAGTACAAATCTCTGTGTTACCGTATATATGAGTTAATTCCAAACAGACAAACTATGTGAATTACATGTAGTAAGTGCTGGTGATATAGGTTTTCAAATGCTTATCCAATATCTGCATGTTTTGCAATCTTAGTTAACAAATAATATTCTTCAGTGTACTAGCACATCAACAGATTCATTAAACTTTTCAACAATTCAAAGTCTTTGTTTTTTCATTAAATTATTTCAGTAATTACTGAATGGAATGGTAAATTAAAAAGAAATCAATATATTACTTTATTTCACTTTACAAATTTCTCAAATGACGAAATATTTGTGATAATTTCTTTCAAGTATACAATTAAAATAGATGAAACACTCTACCTACCTCACAAGCTAGATACAAAATCATTAAATACCAATAATTTTTCAGTTCTATTATTTTTTGTATAAAAACCAATATATCACCTGATTAAAAGACACACTACTACAAACACTGCTAACCCCAAATTCAAGCTCAGAGGAAATACTCTTAAGCACAGCTAAAAGTTGTAAAAATCATGAAAAATGCCCTATTTTCACCATTTATGCGACTCCAAAGACTACATTAGCACTGACCAAACAATGTTAGCACTCAACAACGGCAGTAAAAGGGGAATACATCTGAAAAATGTTAATACTTTACAACTCTTGCACTTTTTGTCAAATAACAATATGTGTACAAATAAAGTAGCACATAGCACAACAATACAATGATTATACTATCATCTTGCCAAATATACCTTTTGCTCCTATTCTATATTTGCACACATGCATACTTGAAAGTAAGAAATTTGAATTAAAGTTCTAGTAAAGGTGGAAAAGAATTCTGAGCTTCCATAAAAGAATATTATTGGAACATTGTCAAATAAAAGAGAATCCCCTCAAAGTAAAAAAAAAATTTAAAAAATGACTAGAAATAGCCTTTAAGTGTGGACCACACGTTCATACCTCAAAGGCCTGTATTCCATTTCTGTGACCATGCACTCTTCACTATATGCAAATTTCAGCAAATTTTAGTCCATTTTCTATCATTTTGTATTATTCCACAACCTCACAATCTACAATATTTCTGATGTACCACAATCAAACTGTTAAAATGTTTTTCTTTCAAAATGCATTCATGTGGCCAGGGAGGCGTTTCACAAAGCCCTTTTTTTCAATGTCAAATGACAAAAATCAGTGACAAATCTGCTGATAACCAATCAAAAGCAAGAAATTCAGTAGCTTATAACAAAAACTGTCATTTGTCACTGATGACAAGTTTGGTGAAATGCCCCCCAGTACTCAACTTTATCTTTAATAGCAAAATTACCATAAATACAAAGGGCATATAGCTTGTGCTTGGTAGTGGGTTTCAGGTTAGTTATACACTTTCAAGTATTGTCTAGTTGGACTGCTTCAGCTTCATACAGATCTGAGGGGTTTCCCAAAGACTAAGATCAACTTTAAGTTGGACTTAACTATGGCAGGCCATCCATGCCACTATTTGCTCTCACCATTTAATGGCATTGGTCTCTCAAGGGGCGTACAAATCATGGTCACAAATCTACAGGATTTGATAATTCATTATTGAAGGAAAAATATTGTCTAAAGATCATAATGGTGAGAGCAACCAGTGGCATGAATGGCCTGCCATACATGTAGTTAAGTTTCACTTACAGCTGATCTTAGTCTTTGTAAAACACCCCCTGCTAGTAGTCTGGGATAATTCCTGTAACAAGAAACTTAGTCTAAGGCGAGAGCTAGCTAACTCTATCACTGGCTACTAGCGCATAAATATGGGAAAGTACAAGAGCAACTAAGACCCACTACCAAACACAACTCGGAATGATACACAATTATTCCATCTTTAAGCGATTACATGATTAAGATATAACCAAGCTGGTATAGACGATCCAAAGTATATTAAAAAACAGAAGATGACATCAAGACGAGTCCCAGACTGGTATCAATCCCACCTCAGTGTCACTAGTTGAGTTGTATATCCAAATACTTCTGAAGAAGGGTTTTTGCACCAGTCTCAATTTCACAATCCAAGTTTAAGTTTGGTAGTGGGTCTTTAAATGCTCTTGTAAGAGTGGTATTCTTAGAGACCAGGGTACTTGGTTCTAGTAGGCGTGGAAGCAGAGAAGATGAAAGAACAAAATGGTTTTAGAGCATGGGTTGGCTTATTTGACAGTGAAAAAGAAGGAGGGGGGGGGGGGGATGTATGGAGAGGATTGGGAAACACAGGTCTCTCTTCTCTCGTCTTTTACAACCATCCCCTACAAGCTCTTCTATGGAAAATCTAACATACATTACAAGCAATTATGATGGGAGAGGTTTCCCTGGTATGTCAGAGTTTATCCCGACTTGCAAGACATAATATCAACTTGATAGATAGAAAGAAGGAAAGAACATTAGAAAGGCAAATATAGCACTCACAGTAAATTTGTGCAGGATAGCAAAAAAAATCCTTCGGAATCTCAACAGACGCAGACAATGTATGCATTCAACTCAGCTGAATACTGTGCATACATGTGTCTAGGTTATAGGGGCTTGTCTACGTATTGCATTGTTATGTCTTGTCGTATTCATAAGCCAACTATCTAACTTGACTACTAATTGCTTTTGGATTGTTATGCTTTTTAATACAGATTTTACACACTATATACTAGGTAAATCAAGGGAAGCAGTGATAATAGAATTGCCTCTGGTATGAAACAGCACTGGTGAAAAATGAAGAAAGAACCTGATATTAACTTTGTCGCTAATATCCCTCTGACTGTAATGATCAATGATCCTGTGACCTTTAACATTTGACCTTACGAAGCCAAACTCTTCAGGTAATCTTCCATGCTCATACATACTTGTGCCCACTGGGGTTGACACTGGTTTAGTATTTCTTGAGTTGTCACAGTAATGAGATATTTTCTGCTTCTGATTTTAAACATGACCCTGTGATCTTTCACCTTTGACCTCTTACAAGAGACGAGTACAGAGCGAAACCAAACTGACTGCAGGAAGATTAAATCTGCGATAAGTATCTTAGCAAGAGGATATCACAATGGCTAATGGAACAAACCTTGCAACTGTCATGCAAATATATTCCTATACCAACCCTTCTATTGACAAAAGAGGGTTTAGACAAAAACAGCTTTATTCTTGAATTCTAAAATTTGGTTCATACATAGTGTGATAGTGAAGTTGGATAGCACATAAAAATATGAGTATCGATGTGAACAATCCAAAAGACAAAACATGAGGTTATTGGTCCCACACAAATGTAATTTCTTAAACATGATATTAAACAGCATTATTATGGTAAATGAAATCCGGCACTATTGTGGTAAAAGAAATCCTGCCTTGTTCACAGAAACAGCAACTAACCAAAACTTAAGCAACACAGCACGTGCTTGTACTTCAGGCATTTGACTTGTTTCTGGGAAAGGCAAGTTCGGATATATGACATGATAAACTGCTGTAAAAAAACACACAAACAAAAAACACACTATCATATCACACTTTATATCATCAAGTAAAACAAAAACGTTGCGGCTTAGCCACGTCATATCCGAACAAGGCTTCATTTTCTACCTACAAGCAAGCAGAAGCATGGCTTCTGGCAAGGTAAGCAACAAAGAGAGTGTTTTTTTACTTACAGTCCGTGGCCGGAGCACTCTTGCTGTCCCCGAGCTCCTGCACGTAATTGGACGGGAAGACGCCCTCGGAGCCGTTGAGCTCCCCTCTCCACCAATCAGGGTCCTCCTTGCTCAGGACGTTGATGACCATGCCTTTCTGGAAGGAGAGTTCGTCTTCGTTCTGCTGGGCGTACTGGTAAATGGTGATGACTTGGCATACTAGGGAGTATTAGAGAGGGGAGGAAAACAACATTATTATAACTATTATTATTCATTCGACCAATCATAAACAAAGCACAATTACAATACAGCATGGCAAGAGACAAGTACATAATAAGAATGAACAAAAACATGCAAAGAGATAAGAGAGCAGCAAGTGGGTCAGGGGATGAAGGGGTGATGTTAACAAATTGACAGAGAAATTATAAGGCACAGGGAGCAAACATTGGTTGGAATGGCAGCCAGTCATGAGTTTTTCCTCCGAAGGACCAACAAATCATATATATGACCACAGAAACTTGGGAACATTATAAAACCTGCAATTTCTTACAAGTAAGGGCACCTGGCATACGATAACTACAAGTTTCAGGTCATCTAAAAAAGAGCACAATTTAGGGGGTGGGGAAGCGGACCATCTTTAGTATAAAGTGTTCTACAGGCATGCTTAATAATTTGTTAAGAACATCCGAATACCATTTTCAAGGAGAGGAGGTTTTATACTTAATATGTCATTAGGCAAAAAAAAAATAAAATAATCTGATAGATTTTTCTTTCTCAGGAGCACTATTTTACCAAAAATTAAGCCCTGATTAAAATATGGTTGAAATAGCACATATCACACTGTTTCATCACACATCAAACCATTCACTCTGTCTCCGGCAAGAGAATATTCAAAACTTGATGTCATAGAATTTCTTCGACCATGTTCTCTATGCAATTGTCTTAAGAGACAATCAAAGAGACAATTGTGGAGCTAGTTCGTCTACATCCCAATCAGTCTTTCCCCATATGGTCTACACCCAACCTGTCTACTACCCGGTCTAATAATCATTTAATTATGAATATAATAATCATCAAATGATTATTATACCTAGTGGATTGTAGACGAAATGTGCATTAGACGAACTGGGAATCAGACCGACTGGCAAATAGACCAAATGAGTGATAGAACAATATTTAGTAGATTTATTTTAATGGAGATTAAACAAAATAAAAATTAGACCAAATGACTATAAGATCAAATGACTATTAGACCAAATGATAAGTAGACCAAATGATTATTGGACAATGTGGATAGCAGCCTGGCTGGGTGTAAACCATATGGGAAACAACCAATTGGGTAGTAGGCCACTAGTTGCAGACCAAATGGCTATAAGCCATAATGAAGAGGTACGTATTTGAACCCTGGAACTGGTAAGAGCCAAGAGCATGAACCACAGGGCTCCTACAGTCAAACCTACTTTAGTGACCACCTGTCTACAAAGACCACATTTTTGTTTGCCTTGAAAATGGTTTCTCATTGAAACATGTACTAAAGGAACCTGTCTACAAAGACCACTTTTTGTTTTTTTCTGCTATAGGCAGGTTTGACTGTACAATATTAAAGTGGTAATACATCAGCTTACCCATATCAATGCCTGGTGTCAGTCTCTGGTTTGCTTGCTGTTTGGAAAAATCAGAAGGAACAAAGAGTGAGCATCAATGACACATTGGTGTTATAATGTTTAGAGAGCACTTTCTAATACCTGACTGCAGTCACTGTGGCAGTTTTTGAAAAAGGTCTTGCATTACCGGTAATCATGTTATCTCGCTGCAACATTCGAATTAATTCTCATTTCAATATCAGCTAGAGTAGAAAAGAGAATATCACCAATTCCAACAAGATGTAGCCTTCCACAGGCAACATTGAAGATTGAGGATTCAATATCTAATGACCATACATACAAAGCTATTAAATAACAATGCTTCTCTAAGTCTGTCATTTCAACCCTTGATTTTGCATGATTATCCTCACTCTCATCAGGGGTGATAGTGAGCACTAAAAAAAAAAAATGGGTTTTTTTGTTTTCCCCTCAACCACGCCCCCCTTGAGTAACAAAAAAGAAGAGGATTCGCGGGGGTAAAATGGCATCTACCCGGTAACAACATTCCCCCCTTTCAAGTAAGAACATTGGGGAAAAATAGGGAAGAATAGAGAAAATAAGGGGGGAATCAGGAAAATCAGGATAAAATAGGGAAGAAAAAAAAAAAATCTGGATAAAATAGGGAGAAAAAAAAAAATCTGGTAAAAAAAAAGAAAAAAAAAAAAAAATTAAATCAGGAAAAAAATCGGGAAACCGATTTAAATCGGGTTTTTATCAGGCCTGTCTCATGGAACCTGTCATGTTTTTTTTGCGTTAATTTCCATAAAAGGAAGAGAAATGCTGAACGTATCAGTGAATAATCTGGAAGGAGATGCTAGAAGAAGATATAATAGCATCTGGCGTCACCCAGGCGGATACTGGAGTCCGGAAGGCTTGGAGAAGGGCCATAAAGGAAATGAAACGTCCAACCCCACAGGGTGGGCAAAACGGACGCTAAAACCTCAACAAATTACTCACCGAAGGTGGAGTCAAGATACTGGATGATTTAGAAGTCTCACCAAGAGTGATTCAGAAACCTTATGAATCATGTGATGTCTTTTAGGCATTAAAGTAGTTACCCAAAGAAAATTCATGACAACTGATAGTTAAGGACAAATCATATATGGATGGGAGATTTTCTCTTGAAAAACACAAATAATTTGCTGAAAAATAATCAATATCATGGAAAGGCGTAAAATGCAATTTCTTGGCTAGCTGTGTCTTGCATATGACGTCGAAAATCTTGACGCTCAACGGAGGACCGCTGAAGGCAGAAAATCTGGATCTCAAAATTAACATATTTGAGAGATGATTACTGCGGGCCCTAAACATACTTTGAAGAGGGAAGTTGTTATATTTGATCAGTAAGGCTTTCCCTTTGCAATGATATGAATTTTGCATCATTTAAAAACACTTTTGATTCTTTGGGTGACTACTTTAAGCCTTCACCTTCCCCTCCAACTTTAAAAAAAAATGAGAGTGCGTAGTTACTCACCGAAGGTGGAGTCAAGATACTGGGTGATTTAGAAGTCTCGCCCGGAGTAGTGACCTTGCCAGCTGATTCCATCAGCTTTACATAGTTTGCAGGGAACCAGCCGATCTGACGTTTCTTACCCCTAGCCTGAAACAATCAACAAACATCACAGACATACATCTTTAATAACCACAATGGTATGCTTCTAATGTACCGACTCAACACAACTAAAACATGGAGGAACAGGGTGTTTAAAAAAAAATATTACAATTTCTCATTTCGGCACTTACTGTTCCTTCATTGACTACTTGCAATTGGGTATTATTGACAGGAAAATGGAAATCTAGACAGAATACTAGAACTAAAACAAAACAACTAGTTCTTGGATATCATTTAGACTGTGGTATCAATGCATCATTTTTTGGGGGGTACAATATGTAATATTTATTTTAGTTCGCTTCTTGATTTGTGAAATCATTTAGCAAAAAGCATATCAACATTCATTGAATATATCAGGGTACTAATCCAATGACAAAATAAATAGTTGCATAATGACCGACAAAAAATCTTTAATGGGTTTAGGTAAATAATAACTTCAATGGTGCTTTAAATTGAGTCACAGAAAGAAAAAAATACATACTAGCTGCATGCTTTGGAAAAAAACTAAGAATAGTTCTGGCAAAATATATAATTATTCCTGCACTGAAATCCCACTGTAACTGTAGCGATCTATAAAGACCTACGGTAAACAAAATAAGATCTTTCACACTGGTCGAAGTCAGACTGACCTGGGGGGTGTTTCACAAAGATTCTAAGTTGGACTTAAAATTATAGAAAGCCTTTAGCATCTATGAAAATATTTTGTAAAAGTTATTTTAAAAAGGCATCAAATGTTGATTCAAATCATTCATATTTTCTATTATTATGAGAGATTTTATGTTCTTGATGTGGAATTTATGAAAAGTCTAAAATACTTGAATTTTGCTTTTGAGTCCAACTTAGAGTTAAGTTTGACTTGGGATCTTTGTAAAACAGCCCGTGGACAATGATCAGATTCTATTGAGCTCACCTGTAGTTCACCTTCCCACCAGCCGCTAGCATTCTTCTTCCTGACCATGATGAGCTGTCCTGCGGTCAGGCTGAGCTGCTCTGCTCCTGTTGCTTCATAGGAGGCAAGCACTTTAGCAATCTCTGGTTTCCTAGATAAAGATCCAGACTTTGATGCCACATCGGCCGGAACCACTGGAGCAAGAGACTGACCGGTAGTGGACAATGTCCCCTCTCCCTCAGGCTGGGCCATCTGCACATAGTTAGATGGAAAGATGCCTTCCCGGCTACCGACCTGACCCGTCCACCACTCCCCATCTTTCTTGGTGACCGTGATGCGCTCTCCGGCATCAAAGGCGAGGTCGCTTGGCTCATCCGACGAGTAGGTGTACAGGGCTACATATTCTGCAAAAGAGAACACAGCCAAAGCTTAACAACTGGAACCCGTTTCACGAAGCCTTTTTTCATTGACAAATGACAAAAATCTGTGACAAATTTGCTGAAAACCAATCAGAAGCAAGGATTTCAGTAGCTTATAACAAAAACTGTCATTTTTCACTGCTGACAAGTTTTGTGAAACGCCCCCTGGGTCTCTCAAAGGTGATCCCGCATTCACTCTGGCGACAATTGTTCATGGCTGTATTTCGTTAGAAGTACAGGGTTAGGGTTAGCATATAAAAGTTAGGTTTTAGGAAAGCTTAGGATTAGGATCAGGGAGGGTTGGGTTGTATCCTGCGGTAACGGCAGGAATGCAGTTAGTGTAGAAAATTACCATGGAGCAGTTGTGGCAAGAGCATGCGTCGTACCACCCTCTCTAGACAAGAATTCCCTGAATGCAGTGAGCACAAAAGTCCGTAATTGAGCTAAAGCCAGAGAAAAATTTGAGCACCATGAGCAGATCGGTGGAAAAGCTCACTATGTCAGACACCTGTATCATTTATTATTTTATATAGAAGGCTTCCGAGTGGTACAATAGATCAGCGTATTTGATATCTTTAGCGCAGTACCCGGATGACAGATCAATATTGTTTTTGTATTGCTCTGTCATCCAGAAACTTCAACTGTCATGATTGGAACATTTACCAAGGTAAGTCAATTTTGTTATTTCACTAGTCAGCCTGATATAGATAATAATTATAATAATATTGTATGGCTTTGTTTTTGTGTGACACAAAAATATATTGCTCTCGCTATGGCAATATATTCTTGTATCACACTCAAAGCCATCCAATCTTTAAAAGTATTATCATACAGATTTTCTCATCGCAGAAAAAGTCAAACTAGACACTGCAATGTGGGAAGTCACAATTGAAGAAATACCAATTGTTTCTAGCAAAGTTATATATTGAAATCAAGTCATTCTAGAGAAGGAAAGGAGAAAAGAAGGAAAAGCATTCCGTTAAAAAACAAGTATTAAAGCCTCACTACACTACTTATAGCTATTTAAGCCCTATATATAGAAAACAATGCCTAAGCGGTACCCGTTGGTCCCCCCTGGTCCCCTTTTTCTTATGTTAATGAAAGCTGATTTGATGTGATAACCACCTGTCAGTGACTGTGCAAGGAGGTCTAATCCCTCCTGGCCAAACTAGTGCAGATTGGCTTTAAGAAACAAGTATTACAATAAACAAGCCTTTCAATATGATGTCAATGAACTTGTACTTGCAGTGAATAAAAATGTTTCCTGAAACAATGCCCATATCCTCCTCACCTTCAAGTTTCTGTCCTGATGGATCTCCTTTCTGTGGGACGCTATTCTCTTGTGTTGCTGCCACAGTTGCGGCAACTACTGGAGCCTTTAGCACCTGTTGCCGCAGTGATGTTGGTGGGGGGCTCGGTTGCTTGGTCACCTTCGGGGTGTTGGCATACAAGGCGAATGGCTCGTCGGGCTGGGGTTTGGGAGTGTTGGCGTAGATGGCATCGCTGTCCGCGGAATTGCGGAAATTGTGGTTTCTGCCCTCTGGTTGTGACCTAATGGTGCGAAGAAGAAATGATTGAGCAGACAGTAGTGAGTGTATGAGGAGTAGGAAGAGGAACAGAGACAGACATTGGGAGAAGCAACATGGAAAGAGGCTATGAATGCTCTTTACGATCAAGATAAAAAAAGAAAAACCATCATAATTCGACTTACTCATCAAGGACGTGGGCTTTGGGGAACCAGCCCTGCTTGCCATCTATCTCTCCAGACCACCACATATCCTGCTTCTCCAGAACAGTAATGGTGGCACCAGCCTTGAAACACAGGTGGTTGTCTTTCTTAGCATCCCAGTCATACAGGGCCTTCACCTGGGTACCAGCTGGTGGTATCGTACCCTGTGGTGGTAGGGGGTTAAGTATAGAAGAGGTCAAATTATAAGATGTGGCAAATATGGAGAGAGAGAGAGATGGAGAGAGAAAGAGAGAGAAAGTAAGAGAAAGAGTATGAGAAAGAGAGAGAGAGAGAGAAGGAGAAAAAAAAAGAGATAAAGAGAGAGTAAGAGAGAGAGAGACAGAGAAAGAGAAAGAGTAAGAAAGAGAGAGAGAGAGAGAGAGAGAGACAGGGAGGAGGAAGAAGAAAAAGAGGAAGAGTGTGACAAGCATATTGTATCATAGAGAAGAAAAATGAAGATACAGAAAGGAAGAGTATAAAAAAGGACATAAAACAGGAATATTCAGACCAGAGAAGAGTGCAAGTGAGAAAATCAAAGAACAGTCTCTGTTACTCTTTGAAGATTGCTGAACACCAAATTGTTTAGGTTGGTACCATATTGATATATTGGTTCTTTGTATTATTTTAATACACATTTTATAATTCAACAAGCATCAAACGACATTATACAAGATGCTGCTTGTAAGTGTCGGCTTGCATGGTGATGTAGATTTACAGTAGGATTGCGGGTGCACCATGTGAGAGGGAGAGAGAGGGGGTTGAGGAGTTCTGAAAAGGACTCTGACTCAGTAATCTTTCTTGGGGTTGTGTAGTCCTGAAAAGGACTGTTTGTTATCTTTCTTAGCATATACTTCTAAGGAGAACTATAGTGCTTGGAGAGGATGAGTGGCTTGACGTTTCGAAAACAGGTTGACTATCCGTTGTCAGGAGTTATACAAATACACTACAGCATAATTACAATGAAGCTTTAAAGTTAATGTTCAATGAAGTCCTACAGTTTAACAACATGATTTTGATTAGTGATCCTACCTGATTTGGAACAGGTGACGGAGTGGCTCCTGTCTGAGGTACAACCTTTGTGAAAGATGAGGGACTATTAGCTGCCGGGACTTTGGAATCGTTATCTCCTATCACATCGTAAACCGGATCGTCTGCTACGGCCTGGTCAGTGCTGGCCACCTGCTCCTTCTCGATGGGCTTTGGCTTGCTGACCTGCGGGACAGTGCTGGCCACCGCAGCGGCACTGAATGCAGCGGTGAGTGAAGCAACAGACCTGGAGGAGGGGGCTGGGGCGGACTCGATCTCGGAGACGGGCGTGGAGTGGGGCGTCGTCGGTTCCTGAGATGAGGGGGCGGGGGACGGACTGGACTTTGCGGCCGATGCTGCATTTGCTGGAGCTGGAGAGGGCGTAAGACTGGAGGATGCGGCCGGAGCGGAGGAGGTCAGGCTGGCTGCTGTGGTGGAGATCGCAGCGGAGACGGCAGCAGGGGTAGGAGCAGACTGCTGCTTCACCTCAACACTCCTGTCAAAGACATACAGAATCCTTTCAATGTATACAGTCAAACCTGTCTATAGCGACCGCCCAAGGGAAACACAAAAAGTGGCCTTTGTAGACAGGTTCCTTCAGTACATGTTTCAATGAGAAACCATTTTCAAGGGTAACCAAAAAATGAGGTGTTTGTAGACAGGTGGTCATTAAAGCAGGTTAGACTGTACCAGGGACATTGTGATCTGGTAAATGTGTCATAGAACTGTCAATGCACAGGTCTTTTTTATTAACCCTAAGGTGTTTACAATCTGCACCAAAATATTGAATTTCTTACACTTCATACCCAGGATATAAAAAACTGTTTCTGACGTTACGACTGATTGCATGCATGGATGCACATAAATGGCAAGTATCGCTTGCAAGACAAGAAAAAAGAAGACATTGTGTACAGGTTTGATAAGAATTCACAGACCAACTATGTACACCTAGTACACCAGGGCCCCCTTGCATCAAACTGACCATTGATGGTAACTTTGAAATCAATGGCAACTACAAAGGTAACGGGGCTCAACAGCAAATCAAAATCCAGGTTATCATTGTATTTGACATTGATGGTAAAGTTACCATCAACTGTAATTTTTCTGCAACGGGCCCAGTAGTACCTGAAAAACATTACAAATATGAAAGCGATAACTTCTAAAACAAGATTTAAGAAACTTCCAAAAGGAATTAAGGAGATTTTTTCTCCAAAATCAATTAAAATTTGCAGGAATCTCTCTAAAGTCCTTACTTCTTTGTGTCTCCGAAGCTAGACCAGCTTGGTGTATCTGTCTTTCCGATGACACCATTGTTTTCTGGTTTCCTAGGCGTGGTGGGTGGAGAGGGGAGTTTCTCTGCATAATTCTCTGGGAACCATCCTGTCCTTCCTTCAAGTTCACCCCCGAGCCAACCTGGTTCACCTCCTTGGTTCTTACCAACCTGCCAATGGAATAAGGATTAAACGATTGAATAGGATGATAGATAAATTGAAACGTCGAGGTGTCGTGGTAAAGTGGATATGTTACCGTACTGTGGATCATGAGTACATTTGTTCCAATAAAACAAAATGACTAAAAATTTTAAAAAAATAAAAAAATAAAAGTCAGGAAGATTTTTTCTTTTTGGATGACCTGTTATAATATGCTATCTATAATATATTTTGAGTAGTATCCCAAGGGAGAAGGAGAAAAACAGAAATTAATGATATTTTTTAATACAACAAATGGGGGAGTTATCAGCGACTACGACACAATCCTCTGACCAAACTGCCAATTTGAGAATCGCACAGATTTAGTGATCTCATATTTTAAACATTCATAACTTTCTTATCATTAGTCCAATTTCAAACATACATAACTTTCTTATCATTAGTCCAATATGTGTAAAACATTCACCATTATATTTATCTTATTTGTCTAACTTGTTACAAGAATCGGATTGCGGTTTGAGTAAAAGAGAACTGAACCCCAAAACAGCTTACCAAGATGATGTCCCCTGGTTTGATGGACAATTCATCCGGTCCTTCTCCATCAAATTGATAAAGGGCTTTGTACTGTGACAGCACCGTCTTGAGGTCTTTGGGCAGTGGAGCTGGCTTCGTTGTAGAGGGCGCTTCTCGAGCTGACGAAGGCTCCTCTTTCTTCTCTGGTTGGGACGCGACGACCGCTTCCACCGTGGGTTGGATCGTGAGCGTACTCGGCTGTGAGGAGGGCTGCTTGATCGCTGCATTCGTAGAGGGCGCTGTTACCCTTCGTGGTTGCGGTGTTGGAGTGAAAGAAGAAGTGGCAAGACTGGCAGAGCTTGTTGTTGTTGTTGCACTACTGGAAGTTGTGGACGATTGTTGTGGCTTGAAAGGTTGACCAAAGTCAAATGAGGATGTGGAGAAATCTGCAAGAGAATTTTGTCGATATTTTAAAACATTTAAAATCTAATTGTGCCAACCACTTGCAGACACAAGAAAGTTGTAGGAGAACATGTGAAAACCAACTATACATACAAACATACATTTATATGCGAGACAAGGTTCTCAGAGAAAATGACAGCATACAATTGAGACTTTTAGCTTAGCCAATTGTCAAGTAGTCTATGATTGCATCATGTGACTGATTAGTTATTTCTAATTTATTCATTTATTCATTTACTTATTTATTTCACTCATTTCAAGTCAAGTTTCAAGTTTGTTTATTTATTTTATTTCCATAAAAAAACACAGCAAATGCAAATAAACATACAAGTATATATACATACAAGGAATGGTCAGTTATTACAATAGTTTCAAATGAAATTGGAGAACAAAGGAAAAGCCCATGGTGGCTTTGTATAAAAAGTTCCCCGAATATTATAATTTATATTATTTATATTATTGAGCATATATGAGTTCGAGATATCACAAAATACAGCGATAAACACAAAATACAGCAATAAACACAAAATACAGCAATAAACACAATAAAAAGACAAAAAACTACAAACATATGTATGAGATAATCTAAAATTGGAGGCGGGGGGGGGGGGGCAAAAAGGTTTGGAAGGTAAATTTAACGGTACTCAAAATAAAAGGTCTGTTTCATTTTTTTTTAAATATTGAACTGTTTTTATAAAAGCGGAGGACTTGAGGTAGAGTGTTCCATATGTTTGGCAAAGTATTTCTTACAGATTTTTTAGAAAATGAACTTTTTACTTTCCATAAATGAAACGTGTTACAAAGCCGAGTACTGTGAGCATGCATTTGGTTATTAATCGATTTTTAATCATTTATTATTATTTCAAATTTACCTGCAAAAGTTCCGAAGGGATCTTTCTTCTCCGAATCTGGTTTGGTTGATTGCACTGAGCCAGTACCTGAATCAACGAGACAGCAAGAAAATGATCAATAGTTGATTGATTGTGTAAAGATTGACGAGGGGTCACATCAATATTAAAGGGAGTGTAGCTTGGCAAATACTTGTTTATGCCATCTACGTCTTCTACGAATGGACTTGATTTACAGTAGTCAGCGACTTAATCTCTATATGGTCAGCGTTCACGAAACAGACCAAAGTTCTCCTCACGCTTCGGTTTCGGGTATGTTGCACGCACATGATTGCTGAGGTCGCATCGTCCGTAGTCGTATTATAGCCGATTGGTCCCCGAGTTAGGCCACTGGAAAGACATGTAGTCTGATCAGGCTACACTCCCTTTAACTCCATGGTAAATTGACAAGATCTATGGTTTGGTGGCCAGGTGTTTTTAAATGGATTTTCACCTCTAACATGTATTACCAACTACATCTAAGTAAATAGGTAAATATGATGATTGTATCGAGCTGATAGCCCTAATAAAGCTTGAATCAAACAAAATATCAAATAAAATGGCATTCAATTGTCAGCTTTAGTTCACAATTCCATAATACAAATCGATAATAATTGCCAACTGGCCATGTGGTATAAATATATATGTTTATGTTTTAGTTGATTATTGATCAAGGGAGAAAATAATCATCTTAGTGGCTTGAAGCAAGGATTCTGAGTCTTAAACTTGTCATCAAAAGTCAAAGAAATCTGATAAATGATCGGTGGTTATTTTCAATATTGTGCATAGGCATTAACACAGAAAAGAAACATGGCTGAGAAAGATAGAAACATTGACTAATACTAGTAATTAATACATTTTTAACACCATCTTCTGTTATGGGCTTAAAGGTATGAAAAAGTACCCACAGGAGATTCATAAATGCAATTTCCCTAAGAGCTACACTTTCAAATTATACACGGCAAACACTGAATAGACCATGTTTGTAATGTAATCAAATTTAACGCATAAATCTTTGTCAAGTGCCATGTTACAAATCATTTCATTCACCTGTTACAAATAATGTGTATTTCAATAGTCAGAATACGAATTGCATACAGTAATCGTTGCTAGGAAGAACAAACCTTATGGCTTGTCCTACCTAACAACACGGAATGTATGCAATTCCCATTCAGACTATAGAAATATAATTATTTGTAAGATGTGAATGAACTAATTTGTACCGAGCCACTTCACAAAGATTTGTGCATTGAATTTGATTACAAAATTAAGGGTAGATACCTGAAAATGCAGCGAAGGGGTCACTTGGATCTGTTTTTGTGCCTTCATTGCCTGTAAACAGAGAGACACAAAGTAAGTAAAGCATTAGCCATTGGAGGACTACAAAATAGAAAAAGCAACACTTTCTAAAATTGAACTCGTTTTCGTAAGGCAGTAAACAATAAGGACTATTTGGCAAGGTATATTTACCTACACCTACACACATAACCAAAGCAATACATTTTTTTTAAAGCAATAAATGTAGAAGATGTCCATGTCAAAGTGTCATTTTGGAGATGCGATATACCTAATCTATAATTAATAATAAGAATAGTACTGCTTTTTGAGAAGTCTGTAACGGTCAAAGAAAGAAAAAATCAAAACATATGGCCAATGTGAAGAGGAAAATATGATTCATGCAGTTGGTATTTTAGAAATTACTTTCCCTTGATGGGTGACAAAAATCCTTCATCCAAAATAAAAAACGTAAATATCTTCAAGATTCCAACTGACAATTTTTTTTTTGTATACTTACTGTCAAATGCTGAAGTAAACGGATCATTATCAGCGGAGCCTAAAATGAAAATTAAAGATAATACAAGGATAAAACTGAATGAGTCTAAAATCTGACTGCAATCTCCCATTAATATTTACATTGTCAATGAACATCGAGGCCCAATTTCAAGGCACACGCTCTAAGTAGAATAATCTATCAATACTAAATATGCCCCCCTCCCCCCCCCCCAAAAAAAAATGGTAAGCTGAACCATTTTTCTTCTTTTTAACTAACAGCTTTTTAGCAAGCCTTAGGCTACTTTGATTTTCTTGTTTATATCATGATTCAACAGATTTAATTACAAAATTCAACCATGATACATATAAAACTTTGTGGTATATCATTATGTAACAATTAAACAGTCCCAAGAAAAGGTATTGTCAACGTGAAAATTAAAAGATTACATCTTTCCTCTGCATAAAATCTTTGCCTTACATATATTATGTTTAATTCATAATAGTGGTGAATTGTTGTTGGGAACTCACTAAATGCAGCAAATGGATCAGCTTTCTTGGCACTCTCCTTTCTTTTCTTCTCTTCCTCTTCTTTTCTCCTCTTCTCTGACTCTGCCTTCTCTTTCTCTGCTTGCTGCTGGGCTAGCCTGATGGCATCAAACTTCTTCTTACTCTCATCCTCTTCCTTCTTCTTCTGCATCACGTCGTGCCTACATAGACCCCCAAAATCAAAATCAATAAATAAATAAACATCTTTTTAAAATAAAATAAATAGAGAAATTAATCAAACAATCACCAACTGGTTATCAATTATGCATCTTTACTCTTTAAAACATACACTGCGTCTATATCAGGGGTTCCAGGTATCTAAACATAAACAGGCTAAAATATTTCAAAATCTCTGTTTAAAATTGAAAAAAATGCACACAAAGTAAACAGGCTCCTCCCCCCCCCCAAAAAAAAAAAAAATAAATAAAAAAATTAAAAATAAAAATAAAAATAAAATAAAAATTGGTTCTATTGGTAATCCACATTATTTAATAACATAATATCCTCCCCCACCCCACTTAGAACAGCTAAGTAGTTCATTTCATAATAATCTTCCACTAGATCTGTTTTGACCCTAACCCCCCCCCCCCTAAAAAAAAAAAAAAATGAACGGGATAAACACTGTAGATCTTTTTTAAAACTAAACACAACACTGCATTCTTATGCATAAAGTTTCAGCTTTTAAAAAGGTGAAAAAAATTGTATGAAAACACTTTTAAGGATTACAACTTATGAAAGAATATCATGGTGAAATTCTGAAACTTTTACCCACTTTATAACACTTGAAGTGTCTTTATTTGTTTAATAGATAAGAATGATGTCTTTAATCACAAGCATAAAGTCCTACTTTACCTTATTTTTTCATTCTGCTGGTTCTGCTTTACGAGTGAAAGCTTCTTCTGGTCTTCGAGGCGTTTTTTCATCATAGTGAAGTCGGTCATTTTGGCTTTTAATTGCTTCTGCAACTGATCAGTCTCATTCTGCTCTCTGACCAAATTTGCTTTCAATTCCTAACATAAAAGACAAGAGAGGGTTGATTTGAAACCATCTCCAAACCTGCACTTGATTGGAGGAAATGTTACTATGTCTATGCTAGAGCAGGCTTGCAAACACTATCATGAAAAGAAATTTTCAAATTTCCCCTAGAGTTTAAAAATATTGAATCACTCTTTTAGCCTATTTCCAGTTTGAAAAGTCTTTAAAACATCTCTGAAACATAATCCCCCTTTTTTCTCTCTCCTTCTTTAGCTGAAACACAAGCTTCATGAAAAAAATCACTTCCAAAGTAATATTATATGACAATGCTATCTATTTAATAAATCATATCTAAATGTTTTTGTATCATCGTATAACAAATAGGCATAACTGCAGGTCTCTTTACAGAACAGAATACAGGAGGAGTGGAAATGGTGCACTGGGTTCACAATTGTGAGATCTTACAAAGTGCTAAATAGATATGCTTTCAAATTATTTCTGAACTTGTCATAGGTTTCTATATTTCTGAGGTAATTCATTTCTAATTAATGACATCATTATACAGAGAGAGGCTTCAAACTAACGTCCTAACGTAATGAACTGAACGCAACTAATATTCAACCACTTCATCCTTTCCTTCCTGATTAATTCTTTACAATAACAAGCTGCATAATAATACAGAAAATAACTGCTAAAAATTTACTGACATTATTAATTTCAGAAACACAACGCCACCGGCTGTCGTCGATCCAACAGAGCAAAAATAACAAGAGAGGACCAGTACCTACGCCCTCTCACATTGCCTAGCGAAAATCACCCAACAACGGTGGAAAACGTCATTATATTAAACAACAACATCCCTATTGACTTACAGAAAGTTTTGAGTGATTGTTGTCAGTGTCCTGCAGACTAGATGCAGTCTTCCTCTCGACCTCCTCCAGCGCAGCCCTCATCCTGACCAGCGTCTTCTGCTTGTTGTCGTAACTCGTCATCACTGCTGCGTATGTATCCGCTGCACAAGATAAACAAAATGAAGAGAATCATAACTTCCTTAGAGACCTTTAAATCCAAACTGAAATTTTATCTTTTTCAACAACCATGACACTCATCCAAACTCTCTCTTCTTTTTATTTTTCTTGTGCGCCTCGGAATAGAATTGTCTAGATAGACGGTGCTATGTAAATGCCTATTATTATTATTATTGTTATTAAAGGGAAAGTCCACCCCCAAAATAAGTTTGTTTCGATAGAGGCAGAATAATAAGAAAATCAGGTGAGTGAAAGTTTGAGCAAATTCTGAATGAAAATAAGAAAGTTATGAATTATTGAAGTTGTGATCAATCAAATACAAATTGGCAACTCTGTGACTTATTATACGAGCTCTCCTTCATTTACTTTGTGCATAATATTCCATAAAATCATGTTTTCTTCGTTATTGATGACGGAATATATATTTGTTCCTTGCAGGGGGAGTATAGAAACAAATTTGCAATTATTATATTTAGGGTGCATGTATGGTTGAAATTTTTCTTGAGGGAAAATGAAAATTTTAGATTTTTTTTAGTACTAAGCAAATGGAAGTTGAGCTCGCATGATACGTCATAGAGTTGCCAATTTGTGTTTGATTGATCACAACTTAAAAAATCCTAACTTCCTTATTTTTAATCGGAATTTGCTCAAACTTTCACTGACTTGTTTCTCTCATTTTTCTACTCCTATTAAAACTAACTTAATTTCAGGGTGGACTTCCCCTTTAAGACAGGGCCCTGTTTCATAAAACTTGCTATCAATAACAAGCTGCAAGAGCTGTTATAAGCTACTGAAATCATGCCTTTTGATTGGCTGAGGGCAAATTTGTCATATATATTTAGCAATTGTTATTAAAAACAGGTTTTATGAAACAGGGTCCTGGTTTACAGGAAAAAATCCAGAGAACTTGCATTCACATCTTTAGGGAAAAAGAACAATAAAAAGCTAAGAAAGGTATCCCTAAAACAATGTAGGGCAGAGGCTTTGCCAGAAAATAAGAGAATGAAGATGACCAAGAATGAGAGACTAGAACATGTTATAGAAACAACAAGAATAGAGAAACAGATCAAATTTATTTTTCAAGATATTGTGCAGTGCTGTTTGAGTCGTCTCGCACACATTGTAAAACCATTAACTTTCTAATGTGTTTTCTATCTTGTGCAACTTTGATGCAATTTTGCACAGGGATGACAGAGAAGTTAAAGGACAAAGACGTGACCAGATGAGATGGGAGTCAGGGAGAAGGGGTATGAAACAAAGAAGGGTGAGGGGGAAGAAAAGGGCAAGAACAAAGGGTGTGTGTGTGGGGGGGGGGATGGGTAAATTGAGAATTACTGCAAGTAGTACGTTTACTCACAGACTTGAGTGTTGATATTGAGTTTCTTAGCTTGGACTTGAAGTTCTTCTTTCTGCTGTGCTCTCTGTTGCTTCAATTGCCTTACTTCCTGCAAACACAAGCAAAGGACTCTCATTCAAATAGCCTGAAACAAGCTTTATTTTAATTCACATAAAAGAAATTGTCTTTTATTTCTGTCATCTAGCACTTTAACATAAAAGATGTATCAAAACCTCCATTTAAAAAAATGATACTCCCTTACATTTTTAACATGAAAAATGAATCAAAACCTCCATTAAAAAAATTATACTAATGCTAATAGCATTGTATGTAAATGATTTATGTACATGTGTGTACATTACGTAAATTAAATTAACGGAGGGAATTTTTATTTTCATGGAGATTAGGGAGACAGATTTTTAATTCTCACTCCTAGATCCGAATTGAATGATTGGTCCAAACGCGGTCACGTGGAATTCAGTTACAGAGACCATCAAACTATTTTTCACTGAAAAAAGTGCAATAGCTTCCAGTACTATCTACTGATTTTGAAGTACACAATTACTTTTTTGATGTTTGCTGCGGCTGAGGCTGTTATTGCTACTACAACCAACGCTACCACAATTATACTACTAATACTCCTAATCCTAAACATCTACTTGGTAATATCACTATCCATCCCATGAATATACAGTCAAGCTTGCTTTCGTGACCACCTGTCTACAAAGACCATGTTTTGTCTTTCCCTTGAAAATGGTTTCTCATTGAAACGTGTTCTAAAGGAACCTGCACTTAAAGACCACCTGCCTATAAAGACCACTTTTCTTGTTTCCCTTGGGTGGTCATTATAGGCAGGTTTCACTGTACCTCAAAATCTACTTGGTAATATCACCTGTATTCTCTGTTGAAGTTGATCGATCTCGGCCACCTTCACGTCCCTGTTCTGGCCCATCAGGATGATCGATGTCTGATGTTCTTTTACAAAGTTCTGACTCTCGCTGAGTTTCATATTCAGGTGATTCTTCTTGTCCTCCTGAAAGTCAAGTATAAAACATCAGACTCATTTACCTCGTTTAATTTGTTCATTTCCATTTCCAGCCTCTTATGACTGCCGTAGAGAATTATCAGTATAAGGATTGCACAGCCTCATATGCAGAGGCAATGTTGGGGTGATACAAATTTGTTTAGTTGCATGTGTGTATAATATAAGTGTACTTTATTTACAATTACATACCAAAAGGATGGAATGGAAGATCTTAATAATACAACTAATCCTCACTATCATCATCATCATCATCATCATAACCACCATAATCATCATTATCATTACCACAATCATCATCACCATTACCATCATCGATACCATTCTGATCACGACCATCATCAATATCTACATCATCGTCATCATGAAAACAACCACCAGCCCCACCACAAACGTCATCATTATCATCATCCTTGTCATCATTTTCATCATCCCCACATCATCATCATAAATATCTTCATTAATACATTCATCATCATTAACACAAATATCATCATCAATATCATCATCATCATCATCACCACCACAATCATTATTACCATCATCATGACCATTATAATCACGATCATCATCAATATCAACATCGTCGTCATGAAAACATCCACCGGCCCCAACACCAACGCCATCGTTATCAATATCATCAATTTCATCATCACCATCATCATCAACATGACAACCACCATGACCACCAGCAGTATCCATCATCATTCTCCACCCCCTCATCATCATGACCACCACTAGACAATTGAATAGGGTTAAATGGAAGAGGTAATCTGCTCACCAGTGTCTCAATCTCACACGCTAGCGTCTTCCTAGTTGCCTTGAGATGACAAACCTCCTCCTGTGATTTGATCCTCTTGGCTTCCAGTTCTTGTCTCTTCTGTCTCTCGATCTCCATTTGCCTCTGCCTCTCCAGCTCTCTCCTCGCGGCCTGCAAACAAAGGTTACAGGGCTCAATATGTATGCAAAAAAAGATTGTGATTGCCTATCTCAAGAACTGATTGATGGATTCCTAACAAACAAATATTCAGCCATTTCCTGCATTAACAAGAGGGTTTCTGATTATATTTTTATTTTACTTTCTCATTCTCATAATTTGTTTTTGTTCTAATTGTTCTGTATTGATTTCTATTGGTATTTATTGTTGTGTATATTTTTTTTTTAAATTGAGAATGAAATAAAGACTGAACTGAACTGAACTTGAACTATCTAGTTATTTATATATTTAATTTGTTATTATTATATTATTATTATTTAAATTCTTGGCTTCATGGAGGACCTTTGGGTGACTCACCTCTCTCTGCTGTTCTAACTTCATCCTTTGAGCTTCTCTCTCAGCTTCAATTTCTCTCTGCTTCTGCATCATTCTCTCCAACTCCAGCTGTCTCCGCCTCTCCTGCTCCAACCTGTAATCATTAGAATTTGCATTTTTCAAATTGGCAACACCGATTCTTCATTTAAAACTTACTCCAACCTGTAATCAATAGAATTTTCAAATTGGCAACACTGATTCTTCATTTGATTAATGACTAACAATCTTCAAGCAAATGCCATAACTGGTAAGTAAATATACAGCCAAACCTTCTCTAAAATCCTGTTCCAACCTGTAATCATTAGAACTTGCATTTTCAAATTGGCAACACCGATTCTTCATTTGATTAATGACTGTAACAATCTTCAAACAAATGCCATAACTGAAAGGTAAAAAAAAACAGCCAAAGCTGTCTATAAATTCCTGCTCCAACCTAAAATCATCAGAATTTGCTTTTTCAAAATTGGCAACACTGATTCTTCATTTGATTAATGACTGTAACAATCTACAAGCAAATGCTATGACTTGAAAGGAAATATACAGCCAAACCCGTCTATAAAATCCTGCGTCTACCTGCAAATCATTCGAATTTGCTTTTTAAAATTGGCAACACCGATTCTTTATTTGATTAATGAGTGTAACAATCTTCAAGCAAATGCCATATAACTGTACAGTAATTTACAGCCAAACCTATCTACACAATCTATTCAAGTGAAAGAAGAAAAGCAATGTGTATAGCAGGTAGACTTCATTCACAGTAGTTGTTCTTTTGATACATATTTCATTTACCATTAATAATCAAAAGGAAAGGGTGCAATCTTTACGGAGAGTTGATTGCTAAAACAAGGTGTACTTGCATACGAATAAGCCATTGAAAGAAACAGGAAATTATTTGTAAAAGAAATAAGAACTTTGCACTGACTGCATTTTGCTACTCAAAAGATTATAATTGTTTTCTTGCAAAAAGAAAAAAAATAAAAAATCATCAAATAATAACCTTGATGGACTATAATTTACATGTAATCATACAAACAATGAGGACATTGTACATCTGAGCATGGAATCATTTGTGTTTCTACCTGCCATGAAAAGGCTGGTGATATTTACCTTATTCTTTCTTTCCTCTCTTGCTCATGCCTTTCAATTTCCCTCTGCCTTTCCTAAAATAAGAAGAAGAAAAAAGAGACATGATTAGTGAATTTATATCTTACAGGTGGAAAACATCACAAGAATGTATTTATTAATTTATTGGTAAAATGTATTTATTAATTTATTGGTAAAATGTATTAATTTATTCATTTATTCATTTATACATTTATTTATTTTTGTCCTGAAATTTATACAGGGTAGCACATTTTCACCAATAGTGGTGGTCTTCCAAGAATGGAAGAAATAATGAAATGAATGAAATTTTCCAAAAGGGTACATGACATGCAAATAGCTCAATAATGTCAAATCAATTGCAAATAACCGAACCCCTCACAATTTCTGATTTTTTAGAACAAGCGATTTAGAATTTGATTGCATTTAGGATTGTAAGACATCAACAATTAACATTGTACTTGAGGCAGATCTATACATATAATGATAGGCATTTCTATAGCGCTGTCTATCTAGAATTTATATTCAGAGGCGCATAACTATTACCCCGGCTTTAGCCTAGCTGCCATTACAGCGCTCCAGCATTTCAGGGAATTAATTCCTGCCTTGGTACCCATTTACCTCACCTGGGTCGAGTGTGGCAAATGAAGATTAATGCCTTGCCAAAGGACATTAGTGCCGTATCAGGGATCAAATCATGACCTTTGAATTTCAAGTCAAGTGCTTAAACCACTGGACTACGACATATAGCCCAAAACAATAATAATTTGAATACAATGTGGAATTAGAGGAACCAACGTTATATATTTATTTATTATATACAAATCAATAATCAAATCTGCACATGACATGATTGCTTTCAAATGCTTAGGAAAAATCTTGTGTTATATTAACCTTTTCTCTTTCTTGGACTTCTCTCAAGGCTGCTCTCCTTCTTTCAAGTTCTTGCTGACCCTTCTCAAAGTTCTGCCTCTTTCTGTCTTCAAATGATACTGTGGGTATAGAAAAGAAAGGATCACCAGTCTAAGCTAATGAACATGTTCCTCATATACTCATCCGTTTCAGTTCAATTCAATTCAGATCAGTTCAGTTCAGTTCAGTTTAGTTTAGTTCAATTCAGTTCAATTAAATAGGCCATTTTCTTAATGTAATCAAGTGTTTAATCGCAAATCTTTGTTAAATGCCTTGTTACAAATTACTTCATTCACCCGTTACAAATTTGTTAATTACCAGTTAGGAATAGTTGTATTTCAATTGTCAGAATGCAAATTGCAAACATTACGTGTTGTTAAAGGCCCACTGCACTATTTGTAGCTACTTGCGCCCTCTCTATATTAAACAATGCCTAATCGGTGACCGTTGGTCCCTCATGATCCTCTTTTTCTTATGTAAACTGAGAGCTGAGTTGATGGGTGGTCTAATCCCTCTTGTAAACTAGTACTGATAAGCTTTAAGTAGGACAAGCCATAATGTTTGTCCTAATTTATGCAATATTTAAAACATCTAAAATAGATTCCTGGTGTTTTGTGGTGACTGGCCACAAATGGCACATTTATCAGCGAAACTAATGCCAAGCAGTGCAACTTATTGTGTAACTGAATACATAGCTAGTTCAATATCGGTGAAGAATAAATACCTGGCGTTAGTTTCTTTTCTTCTTCCAGGGGTAGCTGCTGCTCATCCACACTCTGCTGCTGAACAAGGGCAGGGGAGAGAGGAGCCCCGAACCCCCCCTGACCTGGCATACCACCAGGCATTGCACCGGGCATACCACCGGGCATAGCACCGGGCATCGCACCGGGCATCGCACCACCACCACCCCCACCACCCATCATTGCGCCTCCCACCAACGAGGCCCCGCCAAATGGCATGGTACCACCCACGGGTGCCCCGCCCATACCACCGAGACTAGCCATCATGCTAGCGGTGGGCATGGCAGGAGCTGGGGCAGGGGTAGGGGGTGCCCCTCCTGTCCCCGATGAGGTTATGCTAGAGGAGCGGCCTCGCCGGTAGGATGGGGGTACAAGGTCAGGGGGTAGCTTGGCGGGGAGGGGCTTCCCAGTCTTGACCATGTCAACGAGATGAAGGGCCACACAGAACTCCTCGCAAGTCAGTCTCCCGTCATTATCCACATCAGAGAGGCCCCTGAAAATAAGCACAAGACAAACTATGTATTTCTTACAACGATGGAAATACTGAAACAAAATATTAAGTAGTGCAAACCTTTATGATTTGATCAGTTGATAATGTACCATATGAACTAGATATGTAGAATCCACTGTCACAGGATATAAAATATTATTACTCATAGATTTCCATTGAAATTTTATATCACACAATATTCTGCATTGTGGAAATGTGTACTTTGAAAAATATATATGAAAGCCCTTTTTCCCTATCCTGGTAAAATAAATATAAAAAAGAGTACATATATATATTGTAAGAAGCATCCAGAGCAAGCTCTGTCTGCATTTTCTTGGAGCCTACTTTTACCCAGAAATGAGTAGGGGTTATGTTGAGATTCGGGAATGTGTTAGGTTAGGATTGAAGTTAGGGTGGGAATTGGGAACACTGTTTTATGATATTCAGCTAAATTTGACAAGGGAAATTTAACCACACTGAGCAATAACTCCCGGAGCATGTGATGCAGAAGAAGAGGAAGAGTACCTATGTATGTTCAAATGACGCCTGGCTGGAATGCTCCCCTGGGAGTGGAGAATGTGCATACATTGTGTGCAGGTAAGCCTTAATCCGATGACCGGGTTAATAATAATATATATATATATATATATATATATATATCTTTGAAAGGACCTGTGGTCCAGAAAAGCGCTAAATAAGAACTAGCTATTATTATTATCATTGCTATGTTCTATACAAACCAGATCTGTGCTAGATGGGCCTGTCCTAGGCCAGACTGGACCAGGATGTTCCTGGCCTGAGCCCCCGTCAAGAACCCACTCCTGGTCCTATCCTGTGTGTTGAACATCTGGGTGAACTTGAGCTTCGAGTTGTGCGGTACACCCCAGTCAGCATTTATGGAAGAGGCACGCGCCCTAAAATAAAAGACCAAGCAGGTGTTAGCTCTGTCTCAAAGGGCAAGTCGAGCCCATTTGCAAGTTGAATTGAATAAATAGTAAAAAATAAAACAAACGAAACTGTGAAAGTTACATCAAAATTGGATGAAAACATCTGTGACCTATGGATTCTCGCTGCACCTACCCGGGCATATAGGCATTGTATACAGCAAGACAATTTACAAACCTTTTTCCTCTCTTAATTTCTAAAAAAGAGGAATCTAATGCCTGTAATATATCCAGAAAAGAAAAGGCAGGAATCTAAGTATGCAATTGCTAATAAACCAACATTGATTCAGGCTGCAAACCACATTGGCTCGCGTAACTTTCTGATTTAAAAAAAAAGCCAATAACCTGTATTGCTGTGGTAAGGGCTAAAGAAGTAACGCTGTTTCTCAATTGCGTCAGTACATTTTGCATTGCCAATAATCGTAACGAGTGAAATATATAAAATAGCCATCTAGACCCAACCACAGTTTTATGACATATGAGGGTTGCATATTCACCCGTTTCGTTGCAATACAAAAATCTTATCAACTACGGTACACACAATGCTCATGAGGCCATAATGCAATGATATCCCTTTCAGCATAGCCATTCAACATTGCATTTAAAAACCATTTACACATACAGTTGATACTACGATGCAATGGAAATGGCCAATGGTGAATGGGTAAATGTGATTGGAGTGAGCTACCATGCCTACATGTTTTCACTAAATGAAAAATAGAATCAAGCGAGTTGTGATACATGGCATGTCTTTCCGTAACTTATAGTTCATAACAGCGGATGCGGTGAGCAATTCAGCTCTCGAAAGCTCTCGAAAATACTCTGGTCAATTGAAAAAAAGATCTCTGGTAAAAAACAATAAAATACTTAAATATCACTGTGAGAAAAATTGCACTTATACAACACCAAATCCTAAAAGAGCTCCCGCTAACAGAAAAGTATTTTTCACACTGGTTCATAACCTTTGTTCTCGCAACGGAAGACCTTATTGCCAGTCTCAAAGTTAGCTCTTTCTTTCCATCTTGTTTTTTATTCTTCTTCAACTGGTTGGATATTATCTTTTGAATTAGTATTTATTTTCTTAGCTGAATGTGGCAATTATTTATAATGAAATTATCAATGGTATTAAAAATGGTAGCACATCTGGAGCTATAAAAATTATAAACATTAAAGGTAAAGACCAGTATTGGAAATGCCCCAATTTCAAAAAATGAAATGGAAGCTCTTATTACCAATCATGTGAAAGAATATGTTTTGACTAATACATGATGATAAAAAATTTGCCGGGAAACCGCCTACTAATTCATATATTTGGTAAATTTGTTTCTCTCATGGTCTGTGAGAGATATAGGGTAGTCCCATATACATCTTTCTGTGTATAGTGCTTGTAACTTTACGAAGAATGGGCCAAATTTCTTATCATTTTGATGATTCCAGAACCTTGCAGATGCTAGATGCTAGATGATCAACCTTTTCTGATCGATTCCACAACGTTTCTTTCACAATGCAATCGCATGACCATAACTGGTCTTTACCTTTAACAGAACACTTGAGTACTAATGAGAATTACAAATTTCCTTTTCTATTACCAGCTGTCCATTTGGAAAATACTCAAACTTGATACCAAGACAAAATACTGAAATTGGTGAGAATTGTTCTTTCATTCATTATGCATTTGGATGAACTGTAGATCTAAACTACATGAAATGGTTGCTACAATGAATGATTAAAGCTGAGATGAGTTTTCATTCCAATCACTGAAGCAATTCAGTACCTGTAAATGACCTGATTGTAAAATGCAGCGGTGATGAACTTTGTTTTTTATTTGAATGATTCAAATACATCTATCCCTGCTAGTATGATCAAATCCATATGCCCATATTCCAGTGCGCTAACATGCAGTTAAGACCCCCCTCAAGTCACAGCCTTGGTTCAAGTAAATGTACATTAAACAAACAAATGAGGAAGTACAACTCCATTTGGCCTTATTTTTTAGTTCCCTATTTTCATTTTCTTATATATTGCAAATGCTTATCATTGTATATATCTTTGTATTGTTTTTATTGAAAATGGAAATGAATAAGAAATAAATTGAATTGAATTGAAAAATGAACAGAAGATATGAAAGTGAGTTTAAAGGCACTGTTTAACAATGTTTCCAGTTTTACAAATCTGAGATGCATGGCCCTAGGTGCTATCAGTGTCTGTGATATGATGTAATATCGAAGCCCTAACAAAGTTGTGCTTCAAAATTATCCAAAATGATCATGAAGTGCCTCAAAAAGTAAAATTCTTTAAGTGACCAGTTTTACCATACTCACTTTTTCCCAAAAGACTGTAGTGTTAAAAAAACTGTTGGAAAACGTTTTTTGAAATTTCGAATCCCAATCATAAATATCTTGATAATCTGACAGACGATCGGCTTGTAAAAGTCATGGGGTTCCTGACTGACCTAGAAGTTTATAATTATGATTGCAGCATGAGCTAAATCCAAAATAGTCTCTTATTCTGCAGCAGGTTCCCTGTGTATGTGAAGAGTATTTGTATTGAACAGCCTTGAACCAAGACTATGATGCAGTGTCATGCAGTAATGAGGGAGGCCAGCGAGCTACCTTGGAATATAGTGGTATTTTAGGCTGCCATAACCTCCAAGGGTCAACGACCTCATCGTCAATGGACGCATAAACCTGACAGGTGTTTTGAAGGCAAGTCTAATATTAACACATAATTACATGTACATGAACAACAATTATTAGTATTGTCATTAGTATTGTTATTACATTTATAAAGCACCGTTTCTGATAGTAACCACGACAACGACAACAACACATATCATAAACAACAATAACAATACATGCAGTATCATCATTGGTTGCACTTAAACCTGATAATTAGTTCAAAGGGAAGTCTAATATTAACACATAAGTAACAACATATACCATGAACAACAATAACAACAATAATACATTCAGTGTAACAGTATTGATTTGAGCAGTAGATAAACGCTTTGAAATTTGCCCATTGTTTGCAATGAGCAAATTTAAAACTGCACAGACATAAACAAATATAAACAAATATAAATAACTGTTATAAGTCTTAGATTAAAACATCAACACCAACATGGATGTGTGCCTATCCTACACTTAAAAAGTAGCGTTTTTGTTTTTGTGGCAATTCACCACGTCATAGCTGAACGAGCCTTAAAACAATCATTAAGATCATATAATAGTTAAAGCCCCACTGCACTACTTATAGCTACTTGCGCCCTCTATATAGCAAACAATGCATAATGGGTGACCATAGGTCCCCCATGATCCCCTTTTTCTTATGTTAATTGAGAGCTGATTTGATGAGATAGCCACTTGAGTCTTGCTTCTAGCAGATGTACGAGTGCCTTTCTTACCTCTCTGGAGAACCCTGAACCGTTCCTGCTCTTGCCATTGCATTCTGCTGGGCAGTACCTGCTCCAAAACCTGTGACAAAACAATTAAGATTGTGACAACATACATGTATACAGAAAAAAAAAGGAGTTCAGGAAAAATTTTCATAGAAATTACTATAGTATTGGGATGAGCTTAACAAAGAAACTTCCACCCGACAAAACCTGTAGAATATACAACAGAGATCATAGTTACACTGCACATGTGAGATAGTGGGTGAACATTTGACGTAAATGTGAATTGTTTGCAAGCATCAAATGTTTGTGAGAGGTTCAGATTCAAGAAAGTTTCATGCAGAAAAAAAAACTAAATCGCAACTGACACAACACCGAATTTCTGGCTAATCCTGGTGATTGACAACACCTGTTATTTGGGTAAACACCTGAACGGTGTCTTTAATACCTATACATACCTCCCATATTAGGTGTTGGTCTGTTTGGTAGAGTGTTGAAGCCGCCTGGTTGCATCCCTGCACCTGGCATCCCCCCTGCACCTGGCATGCCTGCACCTGGCATCACCCCTACACCAGGCATCCCTCCTGCTGGCATGGCACCAAAGCCTTGCATTGGCCTCACCATTCCTGAGAAGAAAAGATACAGATGACAATGATAACAATGATGTAATTTAGAGAGAATTTCAACTAAAAAAACATGTTAACAATCTTTTACATGTTATTTGTTTGATTGCTAGAAAAGAAGAGATAAAGATGATGCTGATGGTAACAATGATAATGATGATGATAATAACCAACAAGAAAAATGATGTGATTTAGAGAGAATTTCAACTAAAAACATGTTCGCAATCGTTTACATGTTATGTGTTTGATTGCTAGTATAGAGAAGATAAAGATGCTGCTGATGGTAACCATGATAATAATAATGTTAATAATAACCAACGAGGAAAATGATGTGATTTAGAGAGAATTTTAACTAAACACATGTTAACAATCTTTTAAAATAGCGGATTATTTGGCAAACTCAAGCTGATGAAAACAGGTCTAAAGAAAGTACAGAAGGGCAGGGATTTTAGGGTCACTGCCAATGAAAGCATTGAATAGAGCAAGGAAAAAAATACACAGGGGCTCGGAGCAAATTAGCCCCCGAAATGCCATAAAGAGACCCGAAAGTCATAAAAGAGCCCCCAAAATTTGCATAGAGTTCAATGCAAAACAAATTAAAGAGTGTTATTTTCATGGAAGTAAGCTTGAAAAGTAGTCCCCAAAATTGTTAAAGTATTTTTTTCCCTGGAATAGAGCCACTCACCAATTGGTTGAACACCGAAGCCAGGCATTGCAGGGGCTGGAGCTTGCTTGAGACTCGCTGGTAGCGTCCTGGGGAGCTCTACCCTGCTCAGCTTCTTCTTGATGAGATACATGGCGATGGAGAACTCCAGCTTGTCAAGTTTGCCATCAGAGTTCATGTCAGACAGCATCCTGTAAACACACATATGAATGAAAAGGTTTTTAGAATATATTAGTATGTCTTGTAGCAAGTGGAGCCTTTAATCAGTCGGTCAGTCACTCAATTAGTCACTCAATCAATCAGTCACTCAATTAACCAGACAGTCAATAAATAAATAATGGTTAGTCAATATCAAAAAGTCAATGGTAAAGTGTCAAATTAGAGTCGGTGCTTGTAGACTAGGAGGAAGAGGAAGGAGGGGAGAGAGGGGAAGGGGAAAAGGTGAAAGGGAGGGAGTGTGTGTGTGTGTGTGTGTGTGTGAGAGAGAGAGAGAGAGAAAGAAAGAGAGAGGGAGAATCTCACCATATATGACCTAGTACTTGTTGTGGCAGCCCTGACTGCATGAAGAAACCTCTTGCAGCATCACCTGTAGAAATTAGAAATTAAACATACATGTAATACATGAAATTTCTGCTTCCTATGATATGATTAGACGCTGAGATAATTCAATCACCCTCACTGTATTCATTATCGTTATTTTTTAATTATTTATGTCTTTTTTTCGCCTCCTATATTGTACAAGCATTGCTTTTTAATAGGTTCCTCATATTACACGTTATTGATTATTTACTGCCATCATTTTATTTTTGTCATTATGCTTTATCTTGCTGACCTTGATAATACGTAAACTGTTATTTTGTGGAAAGTGAAACAATAAAACAAAACAAACAAACAGATGATGAGCCCCACTTTATTACAAGCATTTGTTCAACCATGAAACCCAAGCACTTATATCATAAAAGCAATTACTGTAAAAAAAAATAAAAAATTACTACCTAAAAAAACAATTTTCAACAAAATGTCACTCATATTGTCGAACAGATTTATGTAAATGAAATATACATCATTTTTTTTTATTTTGTTGTTGTTAAAGTCACAGTGTAGACAACATGCACAGTGTACATGTACATCTCTTTGTTGGTAATACGTATCTCATACAGAGTTAGTGCATTCATTTTTCTCTCATGCAGGCAAAGAATATTTAACCTTTAATTAGCATCCTTTGTACATGTACACTAATGGTTTCAGGTCGCATACACAGTGTGCTTCATGACACTAATTAGTTATAAATCTGTGCGAAGCCAAAGGGGAGTAATCATGGATAATGGATGACTTCCTCCTCATCCATGTAGAGGTTTATATTCCATAAATAGATTACAAGCATGACAGGTAGAGAGAACCTTCTTTTAATGGACTTTAAGTATTCCTTACTTTCTATTGACTGCCTTTGCTTTCCCCTGTCTTTTTACTTTGTCCCCTTGTTTTTCCCTTCCCTCTCTTTTTCTCTATAATACATTGTGTACATGTATCACGGATTGTATCCCAGGCCTTAAATTAATCGACGGCCATCGACGGCCAGGCCGTCGATGCCCCTATGACTGGCCGCGGTGCCCTCCCAAAAAAAGATAAATTCACGGCCAAAAAGGCCGTGCCCTTTTTTTCAAACTGGCCGACGTGCCTTTTTTTCCAACTGGACGTGCCCTTTTTTTTTAAATTTGCGCACATAAAACCACCAATTGCGCCCATAATCATCTAAAACTAGACGGCAAGGCGCAAGTGTTTTCCGTGAAAATGCGCCCATAAATTATTAGAACAGTAAAAATACACGAATCACGAACAGTCTGCCGCCCACGAGCTCTCTTCTAGCTTCGTATTTAGTGCTTTAATAAGGCGTAAGTGCCGTGAAAATGCGCCCTTTGTTATTATATAGGCAATGCGCTAGCGCACGTACAATCACGCGATCGCATGATATGCATATGGTGCATGCTGTTGACGCACGCACGTACGTACGTACGTACAAATCGAAGGCCAGGATCAAGAAAACAAATCGTCAAATGGAGAAATAAACAAGCATTCAAATAGTCATTAGAGATCTGTCGAGGTTTGTTTGTAGGTCTAGTTTATTATTTTATCTCAAATAGAATTTAGAATTATCTTATTAATAAGTTAAGAACACCTACGATGTTCTCGATCGTAGTTACTCTCATTTTGCCACCAGCCGACCTCGCTTCAAAAAGCTTCCCCGCCAGCTTCCCAAGACGAACGTTTCGAGTCCCGGTAAAATTACGCGCTGCGAATCTCCGAGGGTGCATCGGTTTCGCTGGCAAACTTCCAGCCCGACAGCTTCCCACCAAAAGTGGCGAGAGTGTGTGTGCGAGGAACGATTTTGGTTTCGTGAATGCACGTTACGCAACTGAGCTGAGCGTGTCACTTTCAGCTGTCGAATGTCTATAAGGACATTTTTACATCTTATTTCATTAGTTAGGCCTATCTAGACCTTTCTATACAACACTTAAAAAGATAATTTCTTCAAATTTGCTCCTACTACCGAGAGAGTGGCGGAAGGTTTGTGTGTGAGGTGCGATTTTGATTTGGGATACCCGGCCCGGTAAACTTGCCAAGTCCTTCTGACTTTCGTATTTGTGAAATTGACAATTTATTTATTCATTTGCTCATCAATATTTTTAGTTACTTTAAAATACTGTTTAATGTGCAAGTTTGATGTTCTTAATCAATCTTTCCTGTTCATATTGTTAAGATTAAAAAGTTATTAGATTGATCGTTCGATCTATTCACATTATGAAATTAACATTTGTAGACTCTTTTTGAACTTATGATTAGATAAGGGGGCCTATCTCTTTTTGGAAAATTGCCCCTTGCTCTGGTAAATTCCCGTGGCAAAGGGCAACTTAAAAAAAAAATTGCCCCTTGCTCCTGGCTGCTAAATCTAAGGCTTGCGGGCCGCCGCCTTGTTTGTATGTACCGTAGACCTCTATACATTCTGTGAAGAAGCTGGTGCTAAAAGTCATGGGAAATTGATCCCGCACAAGTTTCATAAAATACACATGACATCTAACAAAAATAGAATCAATTTTTTTGGCCTCATACTCGATGCCCTTTTTGTAAAATATTTTGGCCTCGATGCCCTTTTTGTAAAAATATTTTGGCCTTGGTGCCCTTAAAAATATGAGGTACTCAAGGCCAAACTGGCCTTGCCCTAAAAATGACGAAATTTAAGGCCTGGTATCCTCTACATCTTCCTTCACCCCCCTGCCTGTCTCTAACTCGCTCCCTCTCTTTCTGTCTCTCTCTTTCTGTCTCTCTCCCTCTCTTTCTCCCTCTCTTTCTCTCTGACTCTCTTTCTCTCTCTGTCTCTCTCCATCTCTGCCTTTGTCTGTCTCCGTCTCTCTCTGTCTATCTCCCTCTCCACTTTCTCCTTCCTTTCCTGAGCCCTTATGTACTGTAACCTTCTTCTCCTCTTTCCCCTTCAAGTCCATGTACAAATAATACCCCACTTCCAAACTGATTTTGGTATCTCCATCTCTCTGTCCGTCTCTCTCTGTCTCTCTCTCTCTCTCGTTGCATATTTTGTACAAATTTGCAGCAAAAGAGCCTCCTTCCCACATCTGTCCTATGCTACTACATGTACATTCTAAATCCGCATTACACTACCACAATTAATAATCATTCTTGATCAGAATGCAAGCGACTCCATTCTGTATTTTTCAACAAGAATATACACTGAATTTTCAAAGCAGATCTGTTTGTACACTTTGCATTGATATTTTTAAAATAACATACATCAACCCTACAAGGAGAGGGGAAAAAAAAATCATGAGGTGAACAAATGCTTTGTCCAGGAAATGAATAACTCTTATTGGTAACGTCAAACAGCATCACACACTCCTCACAAAACTTTGACCGAATTTGGATGATCAAGTTACAGACATTGAGTTCCTTATCAGTCAGACATCTGTCTAGTGTCTACGTATGGAGAAACCCATGCCCCTTGATCGCCTCAAGATTATTGGCTTCTACATTGGGAGCATTTACAATGCAAACAAAAACCACTGGTTTTTCTCACATTCTGGGGTTTTGTCTGAAGTTGCTAGACAACTAGTATACACACAAATTAAAAAAATATCGACTTCTAGATAGTTTTCGTTTTCAACGCCTGCTGAAACTCTGCTGTTTTTTGCAGTGTAAATACTCACTCTCGAAACACAGGTGAATTATTCCGGTTTTGGTCTAGTGATTGTCCTCGCTTCTGTGCTGTTGCATACAGAGCAGCGATAAATGGCGCACACGCACGACTCACCAAAAAAACAGAATTATCAAACATCAATGTTTTTTCCTGTTGTTTTTTGCATGGGTGTAAATGGTAGTTCAAAAGAGTTTTTTTCCCGAAAGTAGTTTTTTTTCTGCAATGTGAATGGGGCTATTGTAGGTTGATTGTGGAAAAGGACTGTGCAAAAATTGGAATTTCCACGTACATGTACATGAAGGCAGTACTGGCTGACAATGTATTAAGCTATTGCTTTTATATGTGTAAGACACATGTTTCTTTCCTATGCACAGACATGTGTCACTTTGAAGAAAAACTTTGTCTAAATCCCATGTTGATGTGTTCACTCACCAGTAATGAAACCATTGACCGGCTTGAGCTGGTTGAATTGACTATCATGCTTGGCTCTGTCGTCTGCTGTTATCCTCCAGTCTAAATACATGTACAAGAGCAAAAAAGTGGAAAATGGTTAGATATTGGAGGGAAAAAGGATGACAGGCAGACAAAAAGACAAACAAATGACAGTATGAGAGACAGAGAGAAAGAGATAAATATCAAGACAAAGAGACAGAGAAGTGGAAATAAAAGTGGAAATAAAAGGGAATTTTCAAAACATATGATTTCCATATTTTAAAAAAACAAAGAAACCCTCACAAGTACATTACACACACAAAATTTCGATGGAAAATGTATAATATCATATGTCAACACAGACTTTCTCCAACTTAAAAACTACAGCAGATTATTTAGTTACAAACTGAGCAGTGTGGATGTTCGCCTGTGGAGAAAAGAAAGTAGCCTAAAAGGAAGCCACGTGATTGATTTTATGGCACCCAAATTTCTATTTCTAATGAGAAAGGGAAAGATATGCATAAATGTATTATAAATACAGACATATAGGAGGTATTGTGGAAATTAATATCCATAATTGACTGAAGGAATCGTAGCAGGGGAGAATAAACTTCCAACAGGACGGTGGCAAAAGTTGCTTTCTGAAAAGATCACTGGTTATATTTCTGCTGGTGTTGGAATGATTAATGACGATATTTAAAAATGTAAAAACCTGAAATTGCCTCTAAAAAGATTACTGGTTAATCTTTTTGTAGAAATGGATTGATGAATGATAATCTTTTCCCTAGAATCACAATAACATGTTACTGCCTTTTGTAAAGGTCACTGAATAAGATTTGGAATGATCAATGAAAACAATTAATTCAGAACCATAATGACCTGTTACTGCCATCTACAAAAACAGTGGATAATGAATATTATTTTCACCACATTGTTTCATAGTCTAGATACTAATAAAGCAATTTAAAGTGATACAGCCTTAGTTTGGATCACTTTATATAAATATGTGCTGAAATTGGACCGTACAAGATTTTAATTTATTAATCTTTGATAGTAAGCTTACCGGTACCTTGATGCATGCTCCCTCCTTGCATCATCCTGTGGTGGTAGAGTTTCCACGTACCTAGCATACACATGGTAGAAGATATCAAGAATTATAATCAAGTTCAGTTTTGTTGAGATACACTGTACTTTCATAGAGTTTTCAGCACTGATTGTACATGTACATGTACAATCCAGAGAGGTGATCAGAAGTCAAAATAGTGTTGAGATACTTCCATACAGCCTTTCAATGCATGATAACTGATATGGGCAGTGATTGTATGAGGTACAAGTATGATTGCAGCATATGTCTACCCTTCTCTACACGTAAATTGCACTGGCTTGGTAAGAAATGCATACATGTACACGTACTGTCGGTACATGTACGACCTAGATATATCACAGCTTCTGTGACTAATAGCAGGTTTCCACCTTCATAAATAGCTGTATGACGAAAACTTGTATCCTGGAGGAGGGTGGCTACTTCCCCCCCCCCCCCCCTCCATCTTTAATCACACAGGCCCATTAGCTAGATGTGTTAATTACTTTAAAACATTCATAGTACCCACTTCATCTGTTCAAATGCACAGCTTGTATCCTGTAAAGGGGGGGGGGGCTATTTTATCATACAGGCCTATAAGCTAGATCATTAAACTTTGAAAGTTTAATCACAATGTTGAGGTAAGTTCACTGTACAGTGTATTAAAGCAACAATATGTGAAAGGGTCACTGATATGGACTTCAATAGTACTTAAACATGCAAATAGTGTTGAGTTGCACTCAAGTGTTGGAAGCCCCAGATTCAACAAAACTTTGTTGGCAAAATTTCACTTAAATTGTATCATGATGTGAAAGAGGATGTCAATGAAGACACAATTTTGCAAAGATTTCCCCCCCCCCAAAAAAAAAAAATGTGTTTGAAGACAAATGATGATCAAAGAATACACAATATTCTACTTTAAACACATTTGTTATTTTGTTTTTGAAAAATCCTTGCAGAAATTTGTTTTAAATAACATCCTCTCTCACATTATAATACAATTTAAGTGAAATTTTGCAATCAAATTTTGGGGCTCCCAACACTTTAGAGGGGCTTTTAGGGCTCTTACGCCATTCATGAATAAGAGCATTTAATCAAGTATTGAAGCCTCTTAATTGGCAATGCAGAGTAAATCTATAATCACTATTTTTTAGTATAAATTGGCAAATCCATTCTGATTGTTAGTTTAAATCTTCATTTAACTCTTTCATTTTAATAAGAAACACTTGTATTTTTTTCAAAGATATGAAAGAGTAGAAAATACAATTAATAGTTGCCACTTAGGGGAGGAAAAGCCGATTCATTTAGACCTTAAGAAAACTCTGAATTTCTACGTGGGGTAAAGACTGCATGCATGAGCTCTGAAATACGAATCTCCATGAATTTTACATCTATAACTGGAACGTGTTCTTGGATCATTTGATGAAAGGAAGGAAACGTCTGGTTGGCCTTAAGTATAGAATGACTAATCTAAAGCTACATGTGTACATGTACATGTATCTAGAGGTGAAGGTGAAAAAGGGCAATAAAAACAAAGAAGAGTCTGAGTGTGTATTAAAGTGTACGTGGGTCAGTGATAACAACATCTTATACATGTAAATGCAGGCTCTTCAAATTCAATACATGTATTCATATGCAAGATCACATCTGTGAAGGTTCGTTAATCTGACAGACTTAAACGCACCATCAAAAAATCCGTACGAAATAAATCTGAACGATGATCTGACAAAAGTAATTAGCCGGAAGACCCCCATGAGCATGAATGGTAGTGGGTTCACAAGGTGAGAATAAATGACTTTGTACAAAACCTCTTGGTGCATTTTGGTACCTTTAGCTTTAGGCCTTTATGGTTGCAGGGCTAATACAGTGAAACCTGTCTACATGTATAACGACCACCAAGGGAGACAAAAAAGTGGTCTTTATAGGCAGGTGATCTTGATGTACAGGTTCCTTTAGTACATGTTTCAATGAGAAACCATTTTTAAGGGAAACAAAAACTGTGGTCTTTATATACAGGTGGTCGCTAAAGCAGGTTTGACTGTAGTGTTAAAATAAATCGGTCCCAATCATGATATACATACTAACCACTAAAGTGTCAATTTTGTTGGGTATCCACCGGTATCAAATGTTCTACATAACACAAAAAAGAGTTTAAAGTGTGCAGCATACTATATATACATGTATGCAAGAAACATTTTGTGATACTGTGGGGGAAAAAAAAATCCCTATTATTTCTCATTTTGAGGGTATGTATGGTTTTCATGGCAGACCCACAAGAAGCAGACATTCATTACGGTATCTATATTTTCTGTTTTCCAACCTGTACACTTAAACACACTTCTGTCATCATTTTAAAAAATATATAAATAATGCATCATTTACTTAATAATTACTCTTTTAAAATAAAAATTTCCAATTTCTTGAGTAATCCCTGGACTCTGTAGATTCATAAAGTTTTCTGCTGTAAAACATCAGACCTCAACTCTGTAATTTCAAATTTGTAGAAGTTTCTTAGCCATATAAATCGAGGGGTCAGTAACACAAAGACGTAACTCCATTTTGGCCATTTTGAGAAAAAGTGGTTTATGTGTCACTGAGCACTTGGGCCTTTTAAGTCTATGTTTCACTAGCCATTGACTTGAATGGAGTGCTTGGTGGAGTTACATGCAAGTCTTTGTGTTTCCTGGAAAGCCCACATTTTTCTGAGTATTTTGATATCAAATACTCATTTTGGCAAAATCTGGAGTTATGTCTTTGTGTCACTGAACCCTCAAAATGCTAACACTACTCTCCAGAGAGCCAGGATCCCTATCTATTCTACAAAACAAGGGGTTCAGAATCTAAAAAAGCCTCTGAAAAATCACTTTGTATAAATCAATGAGCTTCTTTCATCTCCTATCAATTGTTCATAAAAGAAGAACATTTCAATCTCACTTAAAAGAACTTTGCCTCAAATTAAACAAAGCAATAGCCAGATTGTGTTCTGACCATCTGTGACCAAATTCCATGAAAATATCCTGACCCAACTTTGGTTGCACTTGGAACAATGTACATGTATGCATTTATTAGTCATACAGAGAGTGTCTTGGATTAAAAGTTTACATGATCTTTGATCTTACATGTAGGACATGACCTCCAACATCACTTGAATGTGAAGGCCTTCCTAATACATTTATAACAAACGGTTGGTCTTAATCAGAGTGACAGAGGTAGACTTTAACGTCTTCAGTATACATTAGTGTGCATTAATCTGTCCCATGCTACCCTATCGTCCCAGGCTATCCCATTAGTGTGCTTTCTAGTGTCACACCATACGACTCCTAATATGAGTTACTGGAGTGTAAAGGCCTCGCACAGCTCACGGTCTTAATCCAAGTGACAGAGTTATACTCCGTCTCCAGTACAGGTTGTATGTTTAAAGGGAAAGTCCACCCCCAAAATAAGTTTGTTTCGATAGAGGCAGAATAATAAGAAAATCAGGTGAGTGAAAGTTTGAGCAAATTCTGAATGAAAATAAGAAAGTTATGAATTATTGAAGTTGTGATCAATCAAATACAAATTGGCAACTCTGTGACTTATTATACGAGCTCTCCTTCATTTGCTTTGTGCATAATATTCCATAAAATCATGTTTTCTTTGTTATTAATGACGGAATATATATTTGTTCCTTGCAGGGGGAGTATAGAAACATATTTGCAATTATTATATTTAGGGTGCATGTATGGTTGAAATTTTTCTTGAGGGAAAATGAAAATTTTAGATTTTTTTAGTACTGAGCAAATGGAAGTTGAGCTCGCACGATACGTCATAGAGTTGTCAATTTGTGTTTGATTGATCACAACTTCAAAAATCCTAACTTCCTTATTTTTAATCGGAATTTGCTCAAACTTTCACTGACTTGTTTCTCTCATTTTTCTACTCCTATTAAAACTAACTTAATTTCAGGGTGGACTTCCCCTTTAATAGTGTGCTCATCTTATTTGTCAAAAAAATTAAATCTTTCCATGCTACCCCATTTAATAATAGGGTGCTTTCGATTCTCACATCAAATATAGAGACTTCGCACAGCTCATGTTATTTCCCTTTTAGTAAACGCTATTGTTTTCTCACAACTGTAACTCCTTTTTGCAATCATGTGACTTTTGATTCACCAAGGGCTAATCCGGAATGGCAAACTTGCACCTGGGAAGAGAGATATCTGATTTTGATCAGATCTGTTTGAAAACAGACATTTATTTGTGACTGGCTTTACTGAGAGCAAAGGAGGTCTTTAGCATCATGCTTTGGCAGGGCTTAGCTGCCTCTCACCTTGGCATGCCTGGCACACTGCCGGCTTGAAAAGCAACACCTTGCTTACCTTTTTTAAATGAGAAAATCAGACTCAAATTTGATAATATAGAAAAAATGCATGAATATAATCTCTATTGCTTAGTTAAATGGTAAACATTTAAAATCCTCAACATCACCATGCAAGCCGACACTTACAAGCAGCATTTAAATCCTAAATTGACACAAAATTGTTTTATACAAAAACACACAAAATAAATATTACAGGGTTGTTTTCTTCTTTTCTAAATGTTTTTCTATCGCTTCTCTGTTCTCTGTACATGGATTTAATGTACTCCTGTTGTCATTTTCACAATGCCAAGAAATCAAGGAAATATTGCCCGACTCCTGTCGTGTGATTTGGAAGAGAACGCAAGAGCTCAGAGCTGAGCTCCCTCATGTGCTGAAGCATCAATATGATGTTACTTGTGGAAGTCTTTCGAGAAAAAGTCCAATAGTCAGCACTACCTACAGTATTGTTTGTTCCAGATACTGATCAAATGCAATATCGGATATTTGTTCAACCTTCTAAATCTACATGTATGTCAACCACACTACCTCCATACATCTCTCCTTACAAGAGTTTGGAGTCAGGGAGAAAGCCTAGACCAGAACCTGACCAGAAAATTTGAAATATTTGTTTTGAACCCGGGACAAGACCGAAACCTGAAAAAAGGGGATTTTACCTACAAGTTACGATACCATTATGAGCGCTGTCAAAATCATTCCAACTGTGAGTACGTTAAATTAAGAACTTAGAAGCAGAAGTCTGCACTTGTCATAATTTAAATTTATCGTCCGCTTCAGAACTTTACGTTCATAATTATAATAATTCAACACTGCCAAGTCACTTGCTGGTAAGATTCTCAATTGTTTAGGATTACCTGAGGTAAGTACGATCATCGTTCACTTAAAAAGTAATTTGTTGTGTTATTCGACTTAGATCTACCTCCCATTTAATTGTGTTCCTCAATTTTTTAACCTTTTTACTCCTACCCTGGACTGTCACTGGCTTGGAAAAATATTAGTCAGACTTGGTCTAAATTAAAGTAGATCTAAATCTAGAGTTAGACTTACTTTTCTTGTCAACAGTAGGGGCGCTAGTGCGAGAATGAGGATGGGCCGCATAAACGAGGATATCCTTGTAAACGCGTACAAAATCGCATCCTAAAAATAAGGATCGTCCTTATCATTACCGATCCGCACGCTGGCAATGCGAAAAACGGATTCCGCGTGATAAGATAGCCCCTGCTCACCATCTACTTTTATGGGTTGTCCGTCTTCCGTTCCCGAGGATTTATCGTTCATAACACGAAAGTCTCTTAGCTGCGTAAGTGAGAAATGCATCATTCATGGCCTGGAGCATCATGGAATGCGTTTTTTCGCATCGCCAACGATCATCCGCGAAAATGCGGACGATACTTATTTTTTAGGACAAGATTTGTCCGCGTTCACAAGGATATCATTGTTTATGCGGACGATCCTTATCACGCTTATTCTCGTAGTCTACCAGCGCCCTAGTAGACCTAGACCTAGATCTAGGGCTAGGCCTAGGCCCTAGATCTAGACTCTAGTTCTAGACCTAAGTTAACTGGTCAAAATAAAATTGTTCTTAGAAATGAGTTAGAGGTCTACATTTCGGCACACTTGCACTTAAAATTTTGGCACATTTACAAGTTACTGTAGAAGGGTCTACTCTTTTGAATAGTCTAAGTAATTTTAAGGATTATGATAATTCTTGTCAATTTCAAGTGAAATATAATATTTAATTATTAACTGCACAGACAGCATAGGGTCTAGCTAATTCATTCAAACAGTTATCACTGCACTCACACTCACAAACTCATGCACATAATCTCAAGTGAAACAACAAACATGATGTGCACTACTTCTTTGCATTGCAACTTGCAAATCATGACATGACACGAATTAGACTCTCTAGAATTTGTTAAGAATAGATGCAATAAATCAGAACATTCAATGGCAATCATACTCACCAGTAGTATATTGTAATATTAAAGAAAACAATGCGTTCAATGACAGTTCCCCCTCTTTAATAATAGCTGGACAAGATAAAAGTCACGATCTTGGAGTTTGATAGGCAATAGCGAAAAAAAGACTCGCCCCATCTGATCTTACATGCAGGAAGTAATCAAGGCGCCCTTTATAAGAGCGCTATTGATTGGTCAGTTTCCGATTACTACCATTTCTCATACTGAGTTCAAGTCATAAGTTACTGAGTATATTCCACAAAGATATCTAATTTTATCATCTAAAAGGATAATTACATGATTAAAATATAATCCGCATTCACAAAACCATTAGGAAACACAAATTTTGCTCAAAAATTAGATGTTCTGCCACGCCCCTTTTATACAAACCAATAGGATACTGTGTTATAAATGCAGTAGTGAAACGCTTTAGATGTGACCTTTGACATTAATATCGTCTGCTTCTATTAAATGTGGAAATTTGATGCATTGATTGAGTACGTACGTAGGCCCTACACAGTCAACGTCAGATAGTTGTAAACCAATTCATAATGAAATTTATTTATTGGTCTGTAACATTAGACGGCTCACTCGTCAAAAAGGAGCTTCTACTCGGGAACGATGTAAGTAGATAAAAATAGACTGTACTAGAGGTCTAGATCTATGGCAATAATTCACGGGAAGATTGATGATCTCACTCGCCTGCATGCATGGCGCGGCGTGCGGCGATAGGCTCGGTCGCGGGGGCGGGCTCGGGTGCCGCGCGCCCTCAAGGCTCAAACTTCATTGCCCCTTGGCCTTGGAAGTACGGAGTTCGGGCTTCGCTAGCTGGCACTCGTACAGACTAACTTTAGGAGAACAGAGGATGTTGGAAAGCGTACAAAGACGTGCAACAAAGATTATTCCTGGGCTAAGAAATTTATCTTGCCAGGAGCGCTTGACCAAACTCAAATTAGACTCTGAGTCTACCAACTCTTGTTCACAATCACAGGCGTAGATCTAGACGTAGCTAGTAGTAGGACATGATCAATGTGTACAAGTACTTGAATGGCTTGTCTTGTACAATGTGCAAGAGATTCCCTTTAAGTTGAGTACAGAAGATAGAACTTGAGGTCACTCTGGGAAACTGGAAAAGAAATATTCAAGACTAGATATCAGAATATACTTTTTTTAGCAATAGAGGGGGTCCAGACAACTCGCCACAAAGACAACCCGCCCCAGGCAAGACAACCCGCCACAATACCCTGGACATCTCGCCACAATACCCTGGACAACTCGCCTGTGGCGAGTTGTCCAGGGTGGGGTGCCTTTTCGGACAACTCGCCACACTTTTTTCCCCTCATGTTTTCTAGATCTAAAATCCCTCATCGTCATGATCTTAGATGAAATTGTCATTTTATGTAGATCTATTCATTATTCTTTTATAAACACAGCATTGACAGGAAACATGGAAATTGTGAGTATTTTGAGAGCTGTTCTAAAGAATAAAGATGATTTTCCTTGCGCTTGCAACAAGACCTGCAACAAGAATCTATTTTGGACTGTGCAAAACTAACCTAGAAGATCTAGAAATAAACCACATTTCAATTTTATTTCGCAGGTCAACTGCCCACTCCCCCATCAGGACGCCAGTGCTTCCAGTACCCTTTCATGAATTCCTAGTTTTTCCTACCATTAAAAATTATCAGAAGGGAAAAGGACATGTACAAAGGATAAAGGGGGCACTTTAGGGGAACCTGAAAAAGTGGGGGCACAGTGTCCCCCCTCCCAATGAAGAATGCCGCCTCTGACGAAACTAACACAGAAAATCTAGAAATAAATCACATTTCAATTTTATTTCGCGGGTCAAATAACCACCCCCCCCCCCCCCCCCCATCAGTACGCCAGTGCTTCCAGTATCCTGTGACCATTAAACAATTTCTGAGACAGAAAAATGCAGCTGCTATAAGCCTCTAGATGTAAATACCGAGAAGTTATCGCAATGATCTGGCGATCGTACGCCTTTGGTTTGTCAAACATACAGTGTATATTATTGTTGCAAGGGAAGTCAGCTTTTATATTCTTTATTCTTTGTAATGACTGTGTTTATAAAAGCACGAAAATCATGAAAAATGATAATTTCATCTAAGACGAGGGATTTTAGATCTAGAAATCATGAGGGGAAAAAGGGTGGCAAGTTGTCCGAAAAGGCACCCCACCCTGGACAACTCGCCTGTGGCGAGTTGTCCTGAGTATTGTGGCGAGATGTCCAGGGTATTGTGGCGGGTTGTCTTGGGGCGGGTTGTCTTTGTGGCGAGTTGTCTGGAATTCCAATAGAGTCGTGGAGCTGTGGAACGTTCTCCCAGAAAGCGTTGTGGTAGCTGAGTCGGTAAACTCGTTTAAGAATAGACTTGATAGTCACTGGTCAAAGAATGCTAGCCTTCTGTATGAGCCGGTCTAGGTGTTGTCTGTCGTTTTATGTTATTACACGTCAACCTCCTCCCTCCACAAATCGCAGTTACCATGGAAGAATCCTGGATCGATGAACAGGCTTAGACCTACAACATTGTATATTAAAGTAAAGTAAGTAAAAGTAACATCCTGACTAAGGAGTTATGACGCCTCTGACACTGTCGTATCTCTGTCATAACTATTTAGTCGATGGGCAGCGCCATCACATGTCATTTATTGGGTAGACTATGGCTGGCAAAAAAGGACAATAAATCCTCCAACTATGATTTTTCTACACATTCACTTAAACAGTGAGTTATCGTTTTTTTGTATTTGATAATCTTATGAAAATATGCTATGTTTGTATTTAAGGATTTTCCCACTTAAATAAACTGATTATACGCCTTTATTTCGACATTGTAAAATCGTCGAAGGGACATGTATTTTGCCACGGCAAGCAAGCCATAGTTTGAAGTGTATTCTTTAGTTTTGAGACCCATATTTCTTTCGAGATCTTCAAATGTGTAAAATGAATAGTTTAAAACATGTTTTTTTAACGTTTGGAATGTTGAAGTTTTGTCATTTGATTATCAACTGACACCTAAAACATTGGACACAAACTTCATTACATCGTATTTTTCTAAGAATAATATATTGGTGTATTTTTATAAACTATCAAACGAAAATATCCGGGGGGTGCCCATCTCAAGAACAAAACTGATTCAGGGGTGATCGGATAATAATTTCTGATCGCCGATCAATTAAAATGATCAGAAAAAAATCGGCAGAAAATTTTCAAGTTTTTGGCTATCAAATGCTTTAAAAAAAAATCATAGCTGGGATTATTTTGTCATGTGGAGTTGTTGTAGACCATGTTTGTTGATATTTAGTGTCTTTTCATGACTTTGAAATTAATAATATTGGTCTAAGAGCAATATTATTAATTTTAAAGTCATGAAAAGGTCTTTTTTTTTTCTTTTTTTTTTCATTTCATAAACATTTATTCTAATTTATTCCAAAAATAACAAAAATGCATCAAATTTTTGTCCCTTCCAGGGGATCAAATTTTTATTTTTTGACCAGTTCAAAAGTGTACAACATTTACTGTATGATATTTGTTGTTGCAAGATGCGGATGAGTGCTACGTCATTGACGTTCTGGTTGTACTTTGAATTTGAATTTGTATTTGTATCTTTTTGAACTCAGAAATAAAATCAATCACACAAACAAACAAACTTGTCAGTCACTTTTCATGAATAGCGCCATCTTTGGACCAAGTTTTGAAATTCAAATTCTGAAATTAGTCTATAAAGAATATGTTTCTGTCACTGAAAGACAGACTTGAATACAAATGACTGTTCAAAGAAAATATTTGGTCATTATAGACAGGTGGTCTTATACTGTACCAGTATCATATATCCTCTTTTGCAATTTGCAATTTCATTTGTCACTTTTCTTGCGTGTGAATGACCTATAAAGACAGGGGATTGCTCATTCATATTATCTTTCAAATTAGTTTGGTAAGAATCGTAGATTGGTAGCTTTTAAAGGCTTAACTGAATATCCCACCATGCATCAGTATTAGGGTCATAGTCAGGGTCAGGGGTCAGATTAGTATTAGGGTTAAGGTTCAGGTTGGGCCCAGGGTTGGAGTAGAGGTTAGGGTAACTTGTGTGGTGGTGTATCCTGCTGTTGCCTTCTTGAGATTTAGTTTATTGGTTTCACATTTCACATTCAGATACAATACAAAAAAACCATAAAATACATATTGTTTCATAATTTTTAAAAAATCATTATACTAATTGATAAATTATTCAGACTACAACATAACATATCATCCAATTTGTTTGACAACTACAGTCAAACCTGCTTTAGTGACCACCTGTCTACAAAGGCCACATTTTTTGTTTCCCTTGAAAATGGTTTCTCATTAAAACATGTACTAAAGGAACCTGTCTGCAAAGACCACCTGTCCACAAATGCCACTTTTTGTGTTTCCCTTGGGTGGTCGCTATAGACAGGTTTGACTGTATTTAAAGGAAACCCAGACAAGAAAAGCACAAAACTGTGAAAAGTGCAGGAACCTATAGAAACTGAAAAGCATATAGGTTGCATTCTCTGCAAATTAACTTGGTTTCTTTGCAAATGTTTATTTTCAAGACTATACCTTTTTAACTATGTTTGTGTGTATAAATTATATTCCTATCAGGAATCAATTCCAGAGCCAGGAGGATCAGAGGTCCTGGTCAGAATCAAGGCTTGTGGCCTCTCGGACGTTGATGTAGAACTTCTGCAAGCCATGGGACAGTCAAGACAAGAGATACCATGTGGTGTCCAGATAGCTGGTATTGTTACAAAAGGTAGAACAAATATACCAACTTCGACTGAAAGATAGCAAAGAATGTATTGGGGTTGAGCATAGATTATATGCAATTTCGTTAAATAAAACACATAATAGGTTTTATTGAATATTTGATTGGAATTAATGCATGGTTTGCAATTATCTTGCACTTTAAATGATCTTCACAACCAATATGGTAGCTACATGTACATGTATTGCTGATGAGCCTTCAGTATCGATTCTCTCAGCTTTAGTACATTTTTGTTGCTTAGATCAAATAATGTCATAATTATCGTCAGTGTCATGATGAGACCTTAAAGCTGGTCTAAAGTTTATAGCTGTCTTTCAAGAATACACATCGTAGTCTTTAAAGGGCTTACTTCGATTCATCAGGTTATCGCGTCTGGTCGGGTGGTTGCGACCTTTCGTGAAACGAAAGTGGAAGATGACACAACCTTTTGTAGATTTGCCACAGGCTTTTCACAAAATGTGGGTTGAATTGGACCTGACCATTTGTTTATTTCGCAAACATTACCCCCTACATTTCATGAGAGAGCATCTGACCCAATGATTCAAAGTAAGCCCTTTAAGGGGAGTTGGCCACTCAACATTGTTGGCTGTAAAATGACCATGACTATCTGTTCTCTTTCTCAGTTGGATCTGCAGCTACCAGGTTTACTGTTGGAGATGATGTTGTAGGGATCCTACCAATGGACACACCCTTATCCGGATGTGCAGAGTACTGCATCGTCAATGAGAATTATCTAGGTAAGTAGAGCTGATATGTCCTTGAGTGGAGAATTTGTTTTTCTCAGTCTGTTATAGGTACGCTTCAATAATCATCACCGGCACTGCTCCAGTTTTGGAGCAGAACTTCAGCTAGATGAACAATTACATGTACATTGACTTGAAGACCTACTTGATGGACACATACTTTCATGAAGTCATCAGGTTTATCTCTAACGGTGGCATCTCTGCAGTTATCATTCAGTTCATGCTTCATTTTTTTCAAATCAATTCTAATTCTGCCTATGGGCAAAATGCGCACATTGTATTTCACTGCATGAGGGACAGATAATGATGAGATATGGTTTTACGACTTGTTTGTTCAAAGATGATACGTATCATCTGTGGTGCACCATAATAAACAAATCCCTTGTGGGCATGAAACTGTAAACTGTTAAAAATACCGCCATGACAAAACACAAACCATGATTTTAGAAGGTCTGCGTGCCATTAACAAATGCTCCGATGGGTGCTCTATGATCCTTGTGTTGTTGCAAAGAATGCATTTTACTTTGGGCATCGGTTTTATTTTGCTGCAGCATCTTTAAAGGTATTGTATCCCTTTTGCAGCCAACATCAAATTCTGTAGGACTTTGCAGGAATTATGAATATGTCACGTATGTCCTATTCGTGAAATTAAAACGTAAGCATTGTCCTAGTATTCAAATTATGCAAGGAAACCTGTTTACTTTCAAGACTTCACTGTCCGACACTATTGTCTGACTGGCTGACTTCTTTTTTCTTTGGTAACAACATACATAAAAGGAGTTGTAAAGGGTACATGAGCATTTGTCCTCATCAATAACCCACCTCTTGTAATGGCCAAGATTAAACTGATTTAATCTTTGCACAGCACAAAACGTACAACCATTCGATACCAAGGTCTGAAAATCAGACTATTTAAATTAAACGACCGCGATCGCTAAATTCGATTCGACGACTAACAGTTGTTATTTTCCCACAAAAATGCATTTTCATTCCCTTTTGTTTTGTGGGAACTTTCAAATGCTATTGGAATTTAACCTTTTCATTTTTTGCCCTACAAATGGGACATAGTACCTTAAATAGTTTTTTTTTTTATAATGTTACCAGTTTTCCATTTCACTTCTTAACGAGACTCCAGGGGACCTATATTTGGGTAAATGCACCCAACATGAATGCGTCCATTGTATGTCATTTTCAAGGACTCTTAACTCGGGTTCTGGTTCTGGTTTTTATGACTTGTTTGTTTAGTGATAATCGGTAACATTAAAGGGGAAGTCTACCCTGATATAAAAATGGTTTTGATAGAAGCAGAACATTAAAAAGAAACAGGTCAGTAAAAGTTTGAGCAAACACCGATTAGATACAAGACAATTATGAAGGGGCGATCAATCAAACACAATTTGGCAACTGACTCTGTGACATATCTTGCGACCTCCCCTCCCATTTGCCCTGTACTGGACAAGTTCAAAACTTATATTTTCCCGTAAGAGAAGGTGTTCAATCAGAAATTCCCCTTATATATGAACAAAAATCTATTATGTCATCAATAAGTAAGAAATTGAAAGTTGATGACATTTTCCGTACAGAGCGAATAGGAGAGGATAAAATTTGAGAAGGTGAGCTATAGAGATGCTGCTTTAGCTGTATTGATGAAGGGATGAACATGTATACTGCTGTGAGGTACCAACAGATTGAAGATTGACACCACTTATAATTATCTTTTTTTTAAAATTATCATTGCCATAATTCGTACTGTATAATATTTTGTTGAACTTTTTTATTTCTTGCAGTGATACAACCTGTGAAGGTGAGCTATAGGGATGCTGCTAGCTTGTTTTGTTATTGTCATGACCATAATTCTTACTAAATAATATTTTTTTGAACATCTATATTGTTTCTTGCAGTGATACAACCTGTGAAGGTGAGCTATAGGGATGCTGCTAACTTGTTTTGTTATTGTCATTGCCTCAATTCTCACTATATAATATCTTTTTGAACTTCTCTATTTTGTTTTTCGTGCAGTGATAAAACCTGGGAAGGTGAGCTATAGGGATGCTGCTAGCTGTATTGGTGAAGGGATGAAGATGTACACTGCTCTGAGATACCTGGGCCACCTCGAAGGGGGAGAGACCATTCTTATCATGGACGGTGCTCGGGTAAGATGGCACCGAATTTAATAATAATAATAATAATAAAGACATTTATAATGCCCAACATATCCACCCAGAGGGTGCTCAAGGTGCTTACAATGAGCTACATATAAACTATACTTAGGCACAGTTATGCTTACATTACATTATACATGGTAAAAAAGTTGATATTAGTTAAAGTTGGCCATTAGATAAGTTTTCAGACTGGCCTTGAAATGATCTACTGATTTACAGTCCTTAAATGTATTAGGGAGACTGTCCCTCAATCGGGGAGCTGCTGAGGCAATGTAATGCTCGATCTCCCCATGATCGTCTGGTTTTAGGGATGATCAGAGTTGATATATTGGCAGAACCAGATCAGAACGACCAGGCTTGCGAAAGTTGAGTAGAGAAGAGATTTACTCATCAGTTTATTGTCTCCCACATTTCACATGATACAAATGTTACAATGTAAAACAGTTCTTTGTAAATTATAATCACATAAAAGGAAATTAGATACATTTAACAAACGTACGGTAGTTATTGATCGAGTTACATGTATTTAACAGCTTTTACGAGAAGACAAGTATATTTGTTTGATGAGTGAAATATGACGAAAACCTAATAAAATGCAAAGCTAGTAAAGAATAGGTTCCCTACAAAATATGATGAAGAAGATCATCGATAATTTGACATTGCGTAATGAGAATTTCTTTTTTTTAAAGGTCAAAGGAATATATATATCGTGGGCCAGAGTTTAAAATACTATCAAATTACATATTCAAAAAGTATAATATATAAGAAAAATATAAAAAATACAAAATATATAAATAGAAAACATTGGACAAACCCTTAAAGTAAACATACATTTACAGAAGCCATAACATATACATGGGGGGATTCTATTAAAAAGCATTTCCGTATATCAATTTACATAATATACACATGTATACCGTCTCAATACATTGTTAATACCTACTTGAACCAACGCATACACGCTCCGGGTGAGCCCCCGGACAGGCAAACTCGGCCACCCGTGCAAGGCCCGAGCACCTCCCGCCAAGCGTCACACCATGATTTTCCATGAAGAAGGGGGAGGGGGGGGGGGGATGGGGGGGGGGGGGGGGGGACATGCAAGGATAAAATTACTGGTAGACAGAAATTCCACTATTCTATCTAGACAATGTAATCCCAATTTCAACTTTCTTAAGCATAAAAGACGGAGACAAAAAAAATTATTTTAAAATTGTTTGCAGGTCTCACAATTTATGGAATCGCCCATATTCTGAGTTCCTGATATAAATACATTGACACATTTTTCATCATTGAATTTTTTGTGCAAAATGTTCCACCATCTAATTATTTGCTTTTAATAGTACCATAATGAAAGGAATTATAGGATACTAAAATACACACTCTTGATGTTTTGTCTCCATCTCTCTCTCTCTCTCCCAATCTCTCCATCTCTCTCTTTCTAGCCTGCAGGCTACATGGGCATTCAGTTGGCCCAGGGTTGGGGTGCAAAGGTCATCACTACCATGTCATCAGAAGAGGAAAGATCATTACTTGAGAACATGAAACCTGAACTTGGTAAGATTTTCTTGAACATTACCTAAAGTTCCTGAACATATGCTCAATTGAATTCATTTTCTGAACATATGCTTAGTTGAATTTGTAATAAGCCTAATGTTCCTGAACATACGCTCATTTAATTTTCTTTGAATATTTAATTTATCCTTGAATGTTTTAGTGGTTACTTATCTGCATCTTCAATACATTTTCCTGAATCTTTTATGATATTGCTGTGTGATGTTCCCATTGTTATTTTGTAATATTGCTTTTGTATTTCGACACTGTTTTATTACATTGTAAATATCTGATTGCTGTATAGTAAAACATACAATATTGGCCTTGAGCTGCATGTCATGTTTAATAATAAACCAATTCAATTTAATTCTATATGTTGATGTATTGTGGCATTTTAATCTTTGTACTTCTATCTTGTTTTTATATATTTAAGAAACTTTTTATGTAAATTGTATTATCTTTGGGAATAACCTTGATAGGCCATTGGCCTCTGTTTTTCCCACCACATTATGATTTCATTTGAAGATGTTTCATTTTAAGGTTTATTATTGTATATAATGCATAGAAATTGTACTTTTATTTTTTTTAAATCAGATGTGGAAATAAAACTTGAACTTGAATTACAAAGACCTTCCTTGCTTTTTGCTAATCACTTTCAAAAGATATCTTTATTTGAATAAATGTATTATTTGTTTTAGGAATTAACCCGAATTACTCTCTCACTCCAATCTTTACCTTTCTGTCATTCTTGCTCTCTCTCTCTCTCTCTCTCTCTCTCTCTCTCTTCTGTTTTTCAGAGTTTCTCTGTTCATCTTTCATTCTCTTTCCCTTTCTTCTCTCCCTCTTCATCTCCATCTTTTACTATCTTCATTTGTTTCCTCTTTGGAAGCGCATAGAGATGTTATATCATAACGTATTATGCGTTATACAAGAACTGAACTATTATTATTATTATTTTTACCTGGACCCACCATCTTTACATTAATACCACCACAGTGCATGCACTCTCTTGTGTTTTCTCTCCTTATATTACCTTTGTTTTCATTATTATCACCATCTTTTTCAACCCTTTCTCTACTCATTTCTCTACAGCACATGTGATAGATACCAGTGAAAGTAAGAGGTTTGCCGTCCTCAATGAATGCTTAGAGGATACCGGTGGTCTTGGGGTGGATTGCATCTTGGATAATGGAGGTATGAAACATATAGTAGTAGAAGTAGGAGTAGTAGTGGGGCTAGTGTAGTAGAACGTAGTAGACTATTTTCCTAATTTTCACAAATGCAGGCTTTCCGAAGCATTACTGAAAAGGCTGTTGAATATTCTATTGTCAACAAAAACCCTGCTTACTCGATGAATAAAGGAAAAAAATATAAAGAAGAAGGAAAGAAAAGGTAAAAGATGATGATCAAAGATTTAATAAAGTAAACATTTAGATGAGACTATTTGGAGTTTTAGTTTTTGGTGTTTGTACACTATAGTAAATGAGGTGCAATTGAAAATGGAAAGGGAAAGGAATGATCAAGATTGAGAAGAAAGGGAGCAGATCACAAAAGTTGAAAAATGTAGTTCTGTATTACTGTTGGTTTTCCTCTGTAGAGTAGTTCTGAAAGAGAATTTCAAACTACAGTATTCATCATCGAAAAGGTGTATACTTGTCTAGGACCATTTGTAAATTGGTCTATGATCTACACAGGCACGTACGCAGGGGGGGGGGGGGGGTTAACCCCCCCTCAATTTTGTTTTATGTGTCTGTTTTGGAGGAAACCCCCCCCCCCTCAATTTAAAAAAAAAAAGTGACCTTACCCCCCCCCCCCCCCCCCCCCCCCCAGGTGTCATATGAAAGGGCAGAAATTGAACTTTCTAGAAATGTGATTTTCTCTTTGAGATTCAGATACCGCCCGCCAAATGACTTTTTGGTTTCCTCTCTTCAAATTGTTTTTTATCACTCATGCGTGAAATATGCATCATATGAGTTGCATCAAATGAAAGAGGAGGTTTTAAGCTTTACAAATATGTGTCATTATCATAATTGCTATTAAGTTATGATAAAACATCGATAATTCTCGGTTTCGTTTTTTCTGGGATGCACTGTATATATATATACAGGTAGCTTCCAAAAACAAATTTTGTTTATTGAACAAAAATATTAAGAGGGTCTTGAACTTTGCAAGTTATATAATGTGTTTTTTTTAAATATCATAATATAGGGGCAGACCTTTACAATTCAATTCAGTTTATCTGGCATCATAAAAAACATTACAAATCATGAGTACAAAAGTAGATAATAGGCCAGGGCCTCTATTGTGCTTGTACATCATGAGGCCCCGAAACGTGCGAACAAAGAAACCATCAGACCATCAATGTTATTAAAGTCTCTTTAGTACACTTAAAGAGAAGGTTGAGTTCTGGGAAAAGGTGAAAATTAATTTGTGAGCATTATCATTGTATTATGCAAGTATGGAAGAACATCAGATAAAAAATGTTCCCTGAAAAGCATAGCTCTTCAATTAATGCCTTAATATTCCAAATATGGCATGTATCATCATAAAAATCAGGACAGATTTTTATGCAATGTTCGTGTAGTCTCATATACATCTTTCTGTGTACAGTGCTTGTACCAGGACTGGGTCAAATTTCTTATCATTTTGATGATTACAGAACCTTGCAGTACACATCGATACTTATTTGCTAGATGATCAACCTTTTCTGATCAATTCCGCAACGTTTCTTTCACAATGTAATCGCATGACCAGAACTCAACTTTATTTTTAAGTTTACTGATATCCTGCCTGCGGCTATAAACTGAATAGGATCATAGAACCAGATGCAAGCCATTTCAAATTTTGTTTTATATTGCAAGCAAAACATTGCCGAAGGGCATTTTTTGACAAGGTCATTCGAATTTCCACATCCCCCTTTTGTGTATGAGTAACATATATAATATTTTATATGTTTGTAAGCATTTCGATTACGTGCAGTTCGCAATGAGGTTTTCAACCCAGATATGGTTGAGGTTCATGTTCATATTTCAAGGCCCACATAGTTTGTTAGAGGAAAAATGAATTGTATGTTTGTTTGGGGTTTGTTTGCGGTTTGTTTGTATTTTTTCTGGTGATTTTGTTTTGTGTGTGTGTGTGTGTGTTTGAAGCCACTCAACTGGTATTTTGAAGTGGATTAAAAGTATCCTGTAAACCAATAAGTAAAATGCTTTTTAGGCTGCATGGAAAAAAAATCTTATTGCAAAGACTTGAAAGTATTGGAGGAGATGAAAAAGGATTGCATGCACAAAGCAATATTTAACCCACATATAAAACCCTCCCAGATGTTTATCTAAATGCATACATGCCAACTGTTCAGATTAAAGAGGAACATTCCTCTTTTTGGGAGAAGATAATTATCATTTTAATGCAGGTGTTCCTCTTCCTGTACAAATTTGTCTGTAGTATTGAATAGGAGAGTTAGGATTGTTCCTCTTTTTTTTTAAATAGCATAATTTGTACAGATTTCTGATTTTCAAATGTTGGCATGTATGTAAATGTACCTGGTAAATAACGGTATTGCTGCTAGTCTATATTTGGTTCAAATCGCTTTGTGTGGTGACTTCAGGGCCCCATACTAATAAAGGGCCACGTTCAGATATAACCCGATGGAAGCTAGCTTAAAGGAAACCTCAACCTTAAGTGCAGGTATACTGAAAGATGAGATTTATTACTACCAAAATGTGCAAGAGATATATAACTGAATGAAGGTATTTTTGCATTGATATAATATATAATGCCTTTTAGCATTGATGGGCACTTAAGGTAACCACTCAATGATCTTTAAATGCCTTTTGATGTTTGTTTGTTTGATTGATTTTATTTTCCACTTTTGCAAAAGAAGGACAGTATGAAATGTGACCTCGAAATTTACACAAAGAGAAACATATTTTCTACGATATTTGAGTAGATTGAGAAATTACTGGAAAAAATAAACGAAAAGTGTATTTTTTCATAAAACATAGATATCATGGAGGCTCGCTTTGACCTAGAAAAATATACATGTAATTTCATTTCTAAAGATCAAAATATTGGTAATTTTATTTACATGTAGATCGACATGATTTATAAAATATGAAATGGTACATTGAATATAAAAAGAATGGAAGCTGAATCGTTTTTTTATTTTTTTATTTGAATAAATCAGCAAAATAATGTACTAACTGAGAGGGTATAACTTATACATATCACATGTATTAAAGTGATGATGGATGTTTCTGGCCCACTCTCAATATGATCTAGGAGAAGAGATCCCATAGGAAAGTAAAGAGTATGCATACATGTAAGTATGCGGCAGAAAGAAACTTTGCAGCAGACTTCCCACATACCAGTATGACACAGGAACAGTCTGCAGCAGAAAGAAACTTTATTACAGACTTCCCACATACCAGTATGCCACAGAAAAGTGGGAAATTATACAATCTGCAGGAATGCTTATAGGCTGCAATTTTGATGAATTTTGATGGCAACCATGCAACCAAGTACCATGAGGTTGCAGGCTGCACCCAGCGTGATCTTATCAATTCCCTTGTTAAGCACTGTTAGTTGTCTTTTTAGCTTCTGTTAAACCAAACAGTATATGTAATATGCTTCAAGTTCTTACTGATTTCATGAGAGGAATTTGTTGCATAACAAGGAAACTGAGGAATTAACGGACTAGTTGTTTCCAATTTTTTTGTTGTGCCATGTGCATGTGCTAATAAAATGCATTATCCACTATTAGTTTGATTATTCAATTTACAAAGAGGGAACAAAATCCTGGGAAAGGGTTTGCCCCTCCCCTTCTCCACTGTACCAGGGAATAATTTTCCTCAAATTTTTTGATTAGCAATTTCAGCCGATGGATGAATATTTAAAATGAAATTCTGTACATTTCTATGGAAGAAAATTGCTACACAAAAGATATTTTGTATAGCAGTCATGCAAAAATGCATAGCAAATTGCGATGCGATACCAGGAAAATTATTCCCTGTGTACAGAACCTGCAAAATCTCTCTAAATAATTAATCTGATTCAATCTCCACTTTGTGAAACTGGCCCAAATGTTGTCTGTATATAATGTACTAACTGCAAACAGCATGGCTTTGGGCATCATCCCTGATTGCCATTTCTCTCCCGGGTACAAGGTGGCAAACGCTGATGAGTGCATGTATTTCAAATGGATGTTAGGATATTGAAGGACAAATTTAGACCTTGACCTACAGTATATTGATCCCGATTCCAGAGTTCCATGTTCACTAGTACAGTGAGCAGATGTTGACTGAAATCAAAACGGTTTCAAAGGGAAGTGAACAGAGTGTGTCGACTACCTGGGACCCGTTTCACAAAGCTTTTTTTCAATGAAAAATGACAAAAATCAGTGACAAATCTGTTGATAACCAATCAGAAGCAAGGATTTTAGTAGCTTATAATAAAAACTGTCATTTGTCACTGAGGACAAGTTTTGTGAAACGCCCACCTGGACCTATTGATCCAGATTTCAATGTTCCATGTTCACTAGTACAGTGAGCAGATGTTGACTGAAATCAAAACGGTTTCAAAGGGAAGTGAACAAAGTGTGTCGACTACCTGGGAGCTGTTTCACAAAGCTTTTTTTCAATGAAAAATGACAAAAATCAGTGACAAATCTGTTGATAACCAATCAGAAGCAAGGATTTTAGTAGCTTATAACAAAAACTCATTTGTCACTGAGGACAAGTTTTGTGAAATGCCCCCCTGATCAAGTGAACACGCCCTCCTCACATGAAAAGCATTCTCGTCAACACAATTGGAAAGGTCTTATTGTACAAATTCAAGTTATCTTTTGCTTTTAAAGCAAAAGAAAAGATTTATTGACATATGGCTTGCCACATGATGTACAAATCATAGCGTGATGTGATGAAGAAAAAAAGGAACACAAAAGACATAATTCTCAGAAATCATATTTTTGTCACACAGAAGTCGAACCACATTGTTGAGATAGGGGCTGGTAAATACACCCAGTATTGTCTTGATTTGGCTAAATTTTGCGGTCGAGACGGGGATCCAGACACGTCTTTCGTGCCTCTGTATTTTGATATTAAAGGAGAATAAAAGTCAACAAATGCTTTTAACAGAAATAATACAGGGTGACCCAGAAAAAACGAAACCAAAATATTTCAACGTTTTATCATAACTTAATCACAATTATAATTAATAAATAACACATATTCATATAGCTTAGATCCTCCTCTTTCATTTGATGCAACTCATATGATGCATATTTCGTGCATAAGTGATTAAAAACAATTTGAAGAGAGGAAACCTTAAAGTTATTTGGCAGGCGGTATCTGAATTTCAAAGAGAAAATCATATTTTTAGAAAGTTCATTTTCTGCCCTTTCATATGACACCTCAATCAGGAAAAATGAGCCAGGAATAACAACGTTCTGTTTGTTTAAAGTAATGCTTGCATTTCCATAATTTGATAAAACAAGTTCGTCTTCACTGGCTGCCTGCCGTAGCAACAGAGTTGACAAAAGACTTAACTCCATTTCGTTGACAATCAGCCATGCGCACAGAAGACGAAAGACCTGATGCCTTTAGGTCAGTCAGGAATCCCATGACTTTTACAAGCCTTTCTGATTACCAAGATCACTTTGAAGTGCAATTTATTTTAGTGCTTCAATATTACACCATATCACAGACACTGATAACAATAAGGGCCATGCATCTTAGATTTAACATTGTTATATGATGCCTTTAATGCTACCTAACCAAGGCTCTAGTCTGCATGTCCTCAAGATAGGTTTAAGGAACATTAATTTTAGTCCATAATAATTTTTGTTTTAATTATTTCTGCAATAGTGAACATGTACCCCAATGAAATAGACGAGGAGGCAGGCCAATCCCCCAAATCCAAGAGGAAAACTGACCTCCCTGAGAAGCATAAGGTCATCTCGGCACTAGGGGTCGGGGGCCGTTGGGTCACGTCACAAAGAGATCTACAAGTAAGTTTGTTTGCCGGAAATATATATATATAAATCCATACAATCAATCCTGCTTTAATGACCACATTTTCTGTTTCCCCTGAGCAGTCTTTATTATACAGGTTCAATTTATCTTGTTCAAAATTTAATAATGATTGCTACATTTCACTATAACTGCATCTAGATATTGGAATAGGCTACATGTACCTTTAATACTCAGGCAATCACCATCTGTCTCTTCATCAAAAAAGGGACTTAAACCAATTCTTTTTTGTGATCCAGATTTTTAGGATTCTGTAAGTTTTCATTTTCATTTTTTGTAGGATTCTTCTTGTTGTCAACGCTTTGGGCCGCTCTGGGAATAGTGCAGAATATAAATAATAATAATAATGGAAACATATATCCGTTCCAAGTGATGCTCAAGCAGTTGAAGGGTATACATGTACCTATCATTTTTGATGATGTTGTTATTTAATTTTTTTCTTTTCTTTTTTTGCTGTTTGTTTGTATGTTTGTTCCAAATGATGCCAACATTTTTAAAACTCCTTCTCTTGCTTCCCCTTGTAAATGTAGCTGGATCCTCCAGACTCCAGGCTTCTGCAGTTGAAGGGTGCTAGTGTTTGTTTCCTCAACGACTCCATATGGACCCTGTCTTCTCACAAGCTTGGCAAATATTTGCGTATCCTTTGCGCCTGAAGATCAGTGTCTAAAAGTAGTTCTTTTGTGTGATTATGTTCTTTAATACACACAAGTATCAATCAGATATATTTATGTATGATTATTTATGTCTGGGACCGACCTTTAACGTCACCGTCCAAAAGACGTGACTTAATCTCAAAATAGGAGTCAGTCTGAGTCAGTTGGTAAGCGAAGGCAGAGAGCTGACCTTACCTAGGATATTACCGCTAGATCACACCATGGGGGTGTTTCACAAAGATCCTAAGTTGAGTTTATCTCTAAGTTGGACTTAACAATCATGGAAAGCCGTTAGCATCCTTGAAAATATTTTGTAAAAGTTATTTTAAAAGGCATAAAATGTTGATTCAAATCATTCATACTTTCTATTATCGTGGGAGATTTCATGTTCTTGATGTGGAATTTATGAAAAGTCTAAAATACTTGAATTTTTGCTTTTTAATATATTTTATTATTCAAATTCAAATGATTTTATTTCTCATGCAAAACAATACAATGAATAAATATATTACAAAAATATGCAATGAAACAACAAATATAATAGAAAAAGCATGAGAAACGAGGAACTAACTAGAAGCAGAGCTTAGGATCTTTGTGAAACACCCTCCCCCCCCATTTCTCTCATTGTTGGATACATGTGTACCCCTTTTTTTTTTTACTAGGAGTCGTGATGCCTCTGAAGCACCCTACCCTGTATCTCCCAGTATGTAGGGTTTCTTGTGGTAGATTTACCTTAAGCCACACTGTATTACTTGTAGCTACTTGCTCCCTCTATATAGCAAACAATACAAATCGGTGACCATTGGTCCCCCATGATCATCTTTGTCTTATGTTAATTGAGAGCTGATTTGATGAGATAACCACCTGTCAGTGACCTTGCAGGGTGGTCTAATCCCTCCTGTAGACTAGTATAGATGGGCTTTAAGAGTTAATTGTTCATTCATATTTTTGGTTTAAGTTTAAGAGACAGACTTTTTCCATTTTTGCAGGGAATCTTTTTTCATAAATGTGTATACATGTAGAGTCGCTTTATAGATACTGTAGGTGTTCTATTATTGTATTGTATGTATGTATTTTCTTATGTTTGGCATTCGTGGAGAAAAAAATTGAATTAAATTGAATTAAATTGAAAAGTAGACCCAGAAATAGCAATTACTCGTAACTAATTTGATTGATGTATACCATTATGAAGACTTTTTTTTCATTTTTGCAGGGAATCTTTCATTCATAAATGAGTCTACATGTAGCTGCTTTGTTTATTGCATACCAGCAAAACAATTTGAAGGTTCATTTATCAAGAAAAAAAAAATATTTCACTCACATCTAGAGACAAAATGTTTCCATCGTTGCCGGGAACATTTGATTCGTGATCATACATTTCTTTTTAAATATAAACATGAAGTTGAATTCAATCTGTCTCTTAAATTTGAATTGTTTTCTGAACAAATTTAAAACATATTTTGATGGAGCTAAGCCTCTAGACCTCTTATGTATTCACAGAGCTACGAAGTATCACACATTAGGCGTGACATCACGCATTTCGAGTGTCTGAAAATGCTCTTACGCACGACGCGCGCGCTAGATTTTGAAAAAACGCTATACCTTATACGTGTAATACCCTCGCACGCGCTTGCGCGCCGAATCATGAAAATGTCACGCATTGCCGATCTTTGAACTTGGCGTCTCTGTATTCAGTTCTTTTCCAGAAATGTTTCCTTAGCTTTGGCATTACAGACATTCTTAGAGACATCATGCAGAAGCTAGAACAGGGAAAATTGAGGTAAGAAATAAAAATCTACAAATATTGTTTCTGTCAATAATGATAATCACTAAAATGATAGTAATGAAAGCAATGATGACGATGACGATATTGATGACAATAATAAACTGATAATAATAATAATGATGATATAATAATAACAACATTAATGATAATGATAATAGTAGTAATAATAATATAAATGATAACAATAAAAATAATAATAAAATAATTATAACGATAAAGATAAAAATGACGATGAAAACGACAATAACAACAACAACGCCAGTTACAATGATAATAATAATGATGATTAATGTACAATGTATGGCATTGTAATTGATAAGTAATTCTCTATGTGCATTGCGGTAGAATCAGTTAAATAGCGAAATACATTTTATTGTGACAAAAATACATTACTACTGTGAGAAAAGGTAAGTCAACAGAGCTTTTACCCAAAGCATCAAAAGAGATATTCATGATTGCTATGCGTAGAGAATTCCACATCTGTGATATTTGATTTCATTTCTGCATTTTTCCAAATATAATAACAGAATAACAAAGAACATATAAACGTAAGGTATAATACAAAATATACAAACAATAATAACTTCATGTCAAATGTTTTTTTTTTTTTTACATATGTTCATGTAATAAAGAGACTTAATATTTCTATAACATATTATTTTAAATTTAAAGTATTATCCAAACTATATTTTGAAAAAGTGCAGGAGACCACAATCATAAGTGATACTTGACTAGGATAGCGGCGCCAAAAAGAAAGAAAAAATCTTAAGGTAAACCTTAAAATAAAAAAGTGTTTAAAAGATCTTTGTGTATGAGTTTGTGAGTGTGTTGTGTGAGTGTATATTGTGTAAGTGTGGAGTGTAGGAGGTTTAAAGAAGCTGAAAATGTAGAATGTGTATGGCAATGGACACAAAGCGATAGCAATAGCTCACTAGACACTTTGGCTCAGGTGAGCTAAAAAAAAAAAGAAATGCGGGGTAAGAAAACATCACAATTACACAAATTAAAGGTTTCGTTTCTGTTTAGAAGTATGGGAGTATTTGAAATAAATGAAACGATCAAACATGACTTTATTGTAGAAGGATAATCATTAATGTAGAGTTTGTTCTGAAAGCTATTCAGTAATTATCTATAGTACCTGTATTTACACATTATTTGTGTTGATTACTTTGGCAATTCTCTCCCCTATCATGCTTTGAAGAGTCTTGCTTCTGAAGAAAAAATTATGTTGTGGTGTGCATTTTAGGGGTGTTTGTTTGAAAAAACAATGTTTGTGATGCTTTGAATATTTTTTAAGTTCATATTGCATGATGATGAAGTTTTGTTGGGAAAAGTCGATGTGAGTGATTTAAAGAAATTCATGCAAAACGAACGGACAAGGAGTGAAAGTGTTTGAATATGAATAATCAATAATGAATTAAATGAAATATGATTAATATATATTTTTATAAATGCAATGCTTCCTGGGAGAAATTTCAATTATTTAAACATATTTGTGGCTAACACCCAGTAAATAAGATCGATTAATTGATCTGTATTGAAAAACAAGTCAGAAAAAAAAGGAAAAAAAATTAATCAAATGATTAATATAATGGAGTATTTGTATTGTGACAAGAGGAATGGTCACTTTTAACTCTAAATTCAATTCTATTCTTATCTACAACTGCACTGTACTAGAAACTTACCATCGTGATCTAGACAATAAGGAAATTTAGGTGTTCATTCTATCATTCCTGATTGTGCCTTTTTCTGTCTGTCCATGAAGGGTCAGGTTTTGGCCCAGAATTTCCCAGAAATCTAGATTCTTTTGACCCATACACTGTAGATGGTATTGTAAATAGTTACTTGTGCATTTTTTCCCAAGGTCTGAAATAGCTATCTCGGGAATCTGGGTAAATTTTGTTTACCTCTGTTCTTTGGAATATAGAGATAACTTTGTATTCTAAAGGCCACCCCTTTGACTACCATTCAGTGCACATGATAAGTGATGCTGAGTAAATTAAAAGAACTGTTATTAACTATGTTCTTCAGATGAAATAGATTACTTAAAGTTGTGCATTTTGCAACTGTTCAATAGTTTTAATGAGAAATATCGCCTGAACTTAAGATAATATTTGCACTTATCAGTAAAAGATGTCAAATTGCATAATAATCATTGTCGATTCAGAGGTATGTTATGTCATGCTATTTGCTATAGGAATGACTGATAAACAATTTGCAAAGTTTGATGACACTAAGAATGATATTGGGCAATGGCATGAGCTCCCATTACACATGATGATATCTGCACTTGCACGTACTATCGTTAAGAGGTGCTTAATTGCATAACAGACATTGTTGATTTGGGGCGAATGTTGTGACCATGCTGTTAAGGTCTCTGCGGAAACAAACATTGGACTAATTCTATAATTACCTCAATGACAAGTGTGCATTATTGAGCAATTGCAGTCATGGGCACTTGCAAGAAAATGCTTTTTTGTGACACTTTGGATAATATCAAACAAATATATACTGTCTTGAGAGGTTCTGGTTAAAACCTTGGGCAAAAGGTGAAAATAATTTCAACCAGTACCACAAAAACAAGGCGGGTATATCAATTATTCAAAATAAGACTTTTTCTTTTTAAATTTTAATAAAATTTATTAAATTGAAAAAGATTATCACAAAATTTGTTAACATTTTACAGTTTAAAAAAACAATAATTCCAAGCCATGATTAGTATCTTTTGCAAAATAGTGTGTTTATTTTTGGTCACGGTGTGAAGAGCTCTCAACCAATAAAAAACCAATACATTTTTGATGCAGGATGGAAATGCCAATAAGGTGTATGATAGTTATTGGTGATTTGGGGAAATGTTGTGATCCTGCTGTTATAGACTGTGAGATTGACCAATGTTAAACAATTGATAACCTAATAGATAAACTAAAGATGATTGCCTTCATCATTTCATCCTTAGGGTAATCTTTGCACTCAACTTTAAAGGGCAATCCAACCTTTGTAATAATTTAATTTTTATGAAAGCAGAAAAAATAAGAGATACAAAATGGCAAAAGTTTGAAATAAATCTGATCAATAATAAGAAAGTTATGAGTGTTTGAAATATGAGATCACTAAAGCTATGCGAATCTCAAATTGGCAATTTGGGTACTGGATTGTGACGTATCTCCCGTTTGTCATACCCAAAAATATCATACATTTCTCTTGAGTGCCTTCTCTCTTGGAGCACTACTCAAATATATTGTGGATAGCATATTATTAAAGGTTCTTTAAAACGAGAAGACACTACTGAGTCATAGATTTTTAAAAGAATTTATATTTTTGTAATCTTGTGTGTTGAAACGAATGGGAAAGTTGTCCGCCCTTCGTCATAGTTACATTTCAGATTCAGCCAATTTGAACCGCCCATACATTTAGTGATAACGGCTATCAAAGTTCTTTCTTCTGATTTTGTTCCAACTTTTAGCAGTCTGCTTCTCTGATTTTTCTGCTTTCCTCAATACTAGTTTGCTATCAAGGTTGGATTTCCCTTTGATATTGCCTTTCCCCTCCCAGCTCAGGCTGACGGTGTGTACAGGATCATGACTCTGATTAGTCCACAGCCTGGACTGTTTCCGTTTCCGGGTCGCGCGCCCAATCAGCTGAGAAAATAACATGCTAAACTGATGACAGTAGTCCTTGCCTCTCATTCTGTTCTGATGTTTGGGGGGATTGCGCAATGAGTGGAGACACCATGCTGTGTGTGATTGCAGAATAACAAATATTATGAAAATGAACAGAATCTCGACATGAATGTGGTTCATATAAACCCCTCAAAACTAGTTTGCTATTAGGGTTGCATTTCCCTTTGCACTGCTAAATTGTGTAATAGTCTTTGTTGATTTGTGGAAATGTTGCATCATTCTTTTTAGGCAATGAATGGTCAATAACCGTTCAACCTTGATGAAAATTTTTCAAGAAACTCCTTTTGTCGCAGACTTCTTAGTATCACTTGTGATTTGAAGATTGGGCAGAGTTTTTTGTCCACAGGATTGGCTCTATAAAGGGACTGAAGATTGAACAGTTTGTTGCTCTCAAAGAGCAGATTTCTTTTCTCCTACTCACCCCAAGCTCTTTTTCCATGGTCCTTTTACCTCCATGTTTATTTTTTTCTTCAAGGTTGAGTCCTAGATGACTAGAAGTGTGCTGTATTGCCCAGTCGTAGCACCAATGTTTCTATCCGAAAGAAACTACAAATGGATACTACAAATGGATACTACAAATGAACATGAATTGGAAATGTACATCACTAAAAAAAGAAGAAGCAATTTACAATTTGTTGCTGTACTGTTCAGGACCTCTGAAAGAAGTATGTAGTATTAAATTCAAAAACTTTTTTCTTTCTTTAAAAGGGACACTTCAAGGTGTTATCAGTTTCTGTGATATGGTGAAATATTGAAGCCCTAGAAAAATTGTGCTTCAAAATGATCATGAAATGCCTCAAAAGAGTAAAAATCTTTGAATGACTAGTTGTAACATACTCATTTTCCCCAATAGACTGTAAAACCTGCACTAATTTCCCTTGGCAAGGCATTGATCTAAATTTGCCACACTTGACCCAGGTGATGTAAATGGGTACCTGGCAAGAGTTAATTCCTTGAAATGCTAGAGCGCTGTAATGGCAGCTAGGCTAAAGCCAGGGTAATAATAAATGGTCCTCGGAATAGAATTTCTAGATAGACGGCGCCATAGAAATGCCTACCGGTATTAATATTGTTATAGTGTTATAAAAAACGTTTTCCCAATGGTTTTTAGAAATTTTGAATTCAAATCATAAATATCTTGTTAATCAGACAGACGAGCAGCTTGTAAACGTCATGGGATTCCTGACTGACCTAAAGGCTTATAATTATAATTGCAAGCATGAGCTAAATCCAGGATTTTGTTTAGAATCTGAGACAACGTTACCCAATCTCTTTAAAGGTACTATGTCCCATTTGCAGGCCAAAAAAATGAAA